GATCAAACTAAGTAAAATTAATGATAACAGTAATCATTCAGTAACCCAAAGTAGAAACCGTGTACTGTAGTCATCAGTAATTCTTTTTTAATGTTTTGTTTAGACGCCAAATACTGTCAGTTTTCATAAATAATCCTTCATTCTAATTCATTGTCTAATTATATTTCTGACATAACCTCATAATTTCCCACATGACAGTGGTCCCCACTTAGCCTTATTTCACTTTCAGCAGTTAGAGTCAACTGCAGTCCAAAAATATTAAATGGACAATTCCAGAAATAGTAACTTTAAAATAACTCTTGTAGTATTGTTATATTTGTTCTGTTTTACTGTTGTTAGTCTCTTTTTGTGCCTAATTTATAAATTAAACTTTATCATAGGTATGTATAGGCAAAAAAATCATATATATAGGGTTCAGCATTATCTGAAGTTTGATATCTACTGGGAGTCTTGGAACATTTCTTCTGTGGATAAGAGAGGACTATTTTATTATAGTAGTCTCTACACTGATTACCTTACTTTCTCTCTTCAATCTGTCTACTGCCACCAGATTTCTTTTTTTCTTTTTTCTTTTTTGAGACAAGATTTTGCTGTGGACCTAAGGCTGGCCTTGAACTCACTATGTAGTCCAGGCTGGCCTGGAACTCATAGCAATTCTGCTTCAGCCTCCCAAGTGCTGGGATTATAGGCATGTACCATTACTCCTGGTTTGCCACCATAATTCTTAATCTAGAATGCCAATCTGATTATCTGATTTCCCTGCTTTAAAATATTGACTCTTTGTCACACATGCAGTGAAATCCTTATCACTACATATACCCTGATTTTTGGTTCTCCAAGAGTGGAAATGTACTCCACTTCCATTGGTAATTAAGTACAACCTTCATGGACACACTCCTCCCTTTCCCCAGAATGCCTTTTTTTCATTCCTTTTTTTCCTCATGGTTTTCTTTACCTCTTTTTCCCCCTCTGACATAGTTAAGCATTCCTGACTCTAGCTCTCATCATTTTCTGCAGTTTTGTTAGTGCTTTCCTCCCATTTGCAATCTAGTAATTTGTGGTGTTTGTCTCATTATTCTATAAAGTCATTTAGAGTAGCAGTGGTGATAGTGATGCTGTTGATACATTGTTTTCAAGAAAATACTCAAAATAATAATAGATACTGTTTATTGATTACCTGTTCTATGCATAACACTTGGTAAGAATTTAACCCATATAATGCTGTATCTAATCCTCACAATGCTGTGAGTTAGTGCTATTGCTATCATCATCATCACCCCCATTTTACAGACAAGACTAAGATTTTAATAACATTTCCAGGGTCTTACTGTTAAGTGGTTGAGTGGGATCCAAAAGGCCTACTCTCATATTGCACTACTAAAGCCCACTGTGTTATCTTAGAGATTGCTTGCATTCTAACAGGACAAGCCTTAGTCAGTGAAATGAATTTGTAATTTTGGATATTAAGAAATCACTAAATGGACTGACAGAGCCTGTTTTCTTTTTTAAATGAAAGACATCTTCACACTCCTGAAATAAAAACCCCATTTCACAATTGAGTGTCTTTACTGAACTTTCGTTTCCATAATTTGGATAAGAATGGATAAAGATGCATAATTTTTAAACAACTTTATTGATGTATAATTTACAACAAATTATACACATATAAAATACCAATTTGGTAAGTTTTAACCTGTGTAGATAACCTAAATCATCACCACAATCAAAATAATGAAAGTTTATCCATCATTCCCCAAACTTCCCTATCCACCCCATGCCTCTGTTTTAGGCAGCTGGTGATCTACTTTCTTTCATTATGGTTTGGTTTATGTATTATAGAGTTTCATGTAAATGGAATTACATAATGCTTGCTCTTTTGGTCCTACTTCTTACATTCAGCCTGATTATTTTGAAAGTCATTTATGTAATTATATGTATTAGGTATTCAACCTGAAGGTACATGTTGTAAATTATATTTGTTACAGAAAGTAAATAAAGGGCCAGGAGTGTAGCTCAGCAGTGATGTGCCTGCCTGGAAAGTGGTCCTGAGTTTGATTCCCAGTACCAGAAAAAAAAAAACTAAAAAGAAAGTAAATAATTATTTATTTCCTCTATTGTATGTTATATTTTAGAAAAGGTTTAGATGAGACTGATTAAAAAATCTGTTGAGCCTATTTTCAAGTCCTTTAATTTCCAAACTTATGTATGCTTCTGGAAGGATTTAAATGCATTTTCATTTTTATTGAGTGGTCTTTTCATCCACTAAGAGTCTCTTATAAAATCAAGCAGTTAAGTACATTTTACTCACTTTTGGAATACATTATATTTCTGAATATTACCTTATTCACCCTTCTGGGGAATCTTGGGGAAAATCCTTCTGCTTGGTCTCATGTGTAAAGTATATATCTCTGAAGTAGTTACCTCAGAACTTCATACAGACATTAGCTGTAGATACTAAGCCATAAAGCACTGATAAATCATTGTGATTTGAATGACTTGTGTTAACACTCCATAAAAGCTTAATTTGAATGAGGAAAAAGATCTCTCCCATCCAATCTTGAATAATTATATTTAAATCTTGTTATTTAATGTTGGGAAAGAAAATCTTGATTTTAGTCCGCTGTTTTTAAAAAACTCAAAATTCCTTGGGCTGGGGATTTAGCTCATGGTTCCGCCACCTGCCTCACAAGCACAAGGTCCTGAGTTCAGTTCCCAGTACCAAAAAAAAAACAAAACAACAACAACAAAAACCCCCAAAACTCAAAATTCCTAGTGAACCCCAATATTCTGTAAAAGTGATACGTGCTAATAAAATATATAATGAGAAAAAACAAAACAACAAAGCTTTATAACTTTGAAAAAATAATGGAGAGAATATGAACATGTACTAGCTGGTGAATGATGGAGACTTTCTAATACCTTAGGTGTGATAAATCATTGTGTGTGAGGGTAATTGTTTTTGTTTTTGTCATGTAGATGGATGTCCTTTTGTGAGGATATTGTGCTGCAGCAACTAGGGATATGAGATCTTATAACTTACATTTAACTGTTTCAGGAAAAAGATACATATATATAAATACATACATGGCTAAAGTAAAATTTGGCAAAATTATTAAGACTAGGTAATGATTTAAAAAAAAATAAATAAAGACTAGGTAATGATTACATAGGTTATCACCGATCTATTCTTTTAAAAAGTTTGAACATTTTTGTAAAATGTTGGAAAAAGAGGGCACCAAAAAATATTGATTTGCTGATCATAGCAAATGTTCTATACTTATATAAAATGAAACGGTAGGAAGAATATATAGGAACTCTCTGTGCTACCTTCACAATTTTTCTGTAAGTCTAAAACCATTCCAAACTTAAAATTTTTTTAAAAAAATTAAAAGCATTAAAATCAATTACATTGGTATTCTAGTCTCACTGCCCCCTTCCCTTTTTAAACTTTCAGGTGGGTATAACCCATATATAGAAATAATTGAACAACCCAGGCAGAGGGGAATGCGTTTTAGATACAAATGTGAAGGGCGATCCGCAGGCAGCATTCCAGGGGAGCACAGCACAGAGGACAACCGAACATACCCGTCTATCCAGGTAACAGACCCTTCTCCTGTGCCTGTCTCACCTCCAGTTGCTTCATATTGTAGCTACAGCAGTTACATTAAGCCTTAGTTTCTTCACAGTCACCTCTACAGTCTTTTCCTTTTATTCTCTTTTTTCTTTTTAATATATCTGGGTAGATGTGCAGAATCATTTCTTAAATACAATACGAGTCTTCCTTGGTGTAGTTATCTGTTTGTGTATTAATATAAGCACAGTGATTTGCAGTACTTAGTACACATTGGCAGCTTTGAGAGCATTATTCCTTCCATAGAACGCAAAACATTTAATGAGGAAAAGACATTCTTACATACAAAGGTAAGGGAAATTATTGCCTAGATTATCTAAAAACATGGATTTGAGAACTTAATCAGAATTATTCTTTCTACAATCTGATAGTCTAGGCCCTGTGGAAAAGATTTTTTTTCTCCTTTTTTCGTACCTTTCCTTACCTGTATCAGATCCTCTGAGTCATTGACATCATTTAAGATATCATAACTTTTTAAATGTAACTTTTTCATGTTAACACATTTTGAAAGAAGTTTTTCTTTAAAAGTGATTCTGGTAAATATAAGGTACACTATATCTGTATTTATTAGCTGTGTTTTACTTGTCTTTTTTTTTAATCCTTCAAATGCCAGTTAATACTAAGTTGGGTGCAGTGGTGTGTGCCTGCTGCAGTCCCTAGCTACTCGGCAGACTGAGGCACATGGACCACTTGAGTCCAGAAGTTTGAGACCAGCCTGGGCGAAATAGTGAGATGCTGCCTCAAAAGACCAAAACAAAAAAAAAAGCCCAATAGCAAAGTGAATTTTGAAAATGGTGCATATCATCTTTCATCAATAAATCTTAATTCACTGTTTTATAGCTAGATTATTCACAAAGTTATGCTATTGAACTTAGATACTTGCTAAAATATAGTTTAACACAGAATTGTGTAATACAAAATTCCTATTTTTATTTTAACTGATACATAAAAATTATACATAATTGAATACAGTAATGTTTAACACATGTATATGTTCCATGGTAATTAAATTAGCATACTTATCTCCACAAACATTTATAATTTCTTTTATAGTGAAAGCATTCAAAGTCCTTTCTTCTAGCTTTTTGAAATTTATAGTACATTATTGTTATCAATGATCATAATACTGTGCAGTAGTACATCGGAGTTTTTTTGCTCTCATCTAACTCCAAATATATAGTGTTGTTTTGTTTTTGAGACAGGATCTCACTGTGCAGTTCAGGCTGGCCTTGAACTCACTATGTAGCCCAGGCTGGCCTCAAACTCAGTGTTCCTCCTGCCTCAGCCTCCCAAATGCTGGGATAACAGGCATGCATCACCCACCACACCTGGCCTAAATTTCTATTTTTAAGTAACATTTTTGGCAGTAGTATGTACTTGATTTATCTAAGTCCTTTTATTTAAGTGTTAAAATGGATGAGATATAATAAGTAAATTTTAAATTTTTGTTCTTCTAATCTTTTGAGTCTTTTTTTTTTTTTTTGGTACCAGGGATCGAACTTGGGTCCTTCTGCTTGTGAGGCAGGCAGCGGAACCACTGAGCTAAATCCCCGGCCCTTGAGTCATTTTTAACTCTACTACATAACTTATTCTATATGTCTTTAAGGTATTTCTAAAATCTGTGTCCTTAGCATACCAATAGGTTCTGTATATACTTTATGGCTTCAATTATTTCTAAATCATCCTTTATTACAGTGTTGAATGGTTACCTTCTCTTTCATTCAGAAAGACAATAAATACTTCCAGGTTACTGTGCACATTATGTCTAAATTTAGAATTATGAACTTTAGTGCCCTCTACCTAGTAAGCTACCCATTCTTATTTAACTACCTAATAGCTTTTATTATTCTGGTTTTTATATTTCTTGCTTGTTCTGTCAAATTTGCTAGCTTCAGAAGTGAACATTAGTTCTTCCCCATCTCTAAGTGTCTCCTGCCTCTTTATGGTGAGTGTTCTAGATGTACTTTCTTTGTGAACCTTAATCTTATTAAATTTAACTTGATTTATTGCTTATTGTACAGTGAACACTTTATATGCCTACTGATTAGCACATATTTTTGTGAAATATCACATATTTAATAAAACAATCATTTATGCACTGTCATTTGCAGTATGGATTAAATAAATATATTTTCAAGGAATGTTTATGGTATGACAGTGCATCTAAGAGCAAGGAACTTAGTTATGTAACATCTGATATTTCCTTATGTTCTGCAATAAAATTGTGGTATAGTTTTACATGTTTTAAGGAAAATAAGCAGAGTCCGATGATATAAGCAGTTGAAACAACAGTAGAAAATGGTATGTCTAGGTGCTGACAAGTTTTTCCCTACTGATGTTCTCTGGAAAGCTTCAGCTCAAATGCAGTTGCTGGTCACTTGAGCTGTTTTTTAATCCAGTGCTAACCACATTATATAAATTGAACCCTAATTTAGTAGATTGGTTGTGAATGGGTATATCTATGGATCATGTATTTAACTACTCCCTTTTTCAGATTATGAACTATTATGGAAAAGGAAAAGTGAGAATTACATTAGTAACAAAGAATGACCCATATAAACCTCACCCTCATGACTTAGTTGGAAAAGACTGCAGGGATGGCTACTATGAAGCAGAATTTGGACAAGAACGCAGACCTCTGTTGTAAGTACACAGTCACACACATCTGTGGGAACAGGGTAAGCATAGCATGCTCTGTTTCCTATCCATGGCTGTTACTTTTTAGCAAATACATTAATTTCTCATCCTATTTATTATAGTGTATATTTACGTTTTCTTACTGTTTACCTTAGAACTACCCTTTCATTCTTCATTGGTAGACACAGCGCATGATGGGTAGAAATACTTCTTTATTATTACTGAGAGTAAAAAACATTTTATATTTTTTTTTTCTCAGCTCAAACAATTCACAAGAGAAAATTTTACTCTTTTGTTTAATTTACAAATTGCTAGATGTGAGAAAATCAACTAGAAAACTAGACTTTATTAAGAAAGGGGCGAGTTTTAAAATTAACATACAACAGATGTTCTGAGATTTCAAAAAAACAGCTGTGCATGGTAATGCATTCCTATAATCCCAGCTGCCTGCGAGGCTGAGGCAGGAGGATTGAAAATTTGCACCTAATCTGGACAACTAAGTGATTTTAAAAGTCCTTGTTATAAAATAAATATTTTAAAGGTGAGGGAGGGTACTGAGGATATATCTTAGTGCAAAGGTCATGGGCTCAATCCCCAGTACCACCAAAAAAAAAAAAAATTAAAAACTGTCATTTTCATGTTGATGAGGTACCAGAAATGAGCCTATTTATTATGGTATAATTTAAATTCATAAAATCTTTTTGATAGTGAATTTACATAGCAAAACCCTGAAAAATAGGAATGTGTCTTGGACCAGCAATTCCACCTTAAGTACTTTTCCTCAGAAAATAATCAAAAATGTTCAAATCTTTAACTACAGTGATATTTAGTGAGTGCATCTTTGTTTGTGATGGCAAAAAGTTAGAAGCAATCTAAGTACTAAACAAACTGGTACATCCTGTATTGTACCCCTATGTAGCTGTAAGAGCAACATTGCAAATGTCTGTTGGTATGTGTCAGATAAATATAATAGGTTTTAAAACAAGATTAAAAGAGTAATCTTATTTTTGTTAAAAATTAATTCATACATACATATAGTAGTGTATATATATATGGTAGTATATATATACACTGATATATATACTAATTTTATACATATACATCGAAGTATGTATACTAAGATATTAATAGTAGTTGTCTTTGAGTTGGTAAGATTGTGAGGTTTTTAATTTTTACTATTTGTTTATTTATTTATTTATTGAAGTACTTGGGATTGAACCCATAGTCTTTGCATTGAGCTACATCCCCAGCCATTTTTTACTTTTTTTTGAGACAGAGTCTTGTTTAATTGCCCAGCCTGGGTTTAAATTTGCAATGCTCCTGCCTCAGCCTCTCAAGTGCTAGAATTTTGGGTGTGTGCCCCCACACCTAGCTATTTTTTTTAACTTATATTATTTTAACTCACTTTTGTAATGAACATATTTGGTTCTTATGGGAAAATGAAATTAATTGCACCAGCAAAAAGGTTAGTAGTTTTCCTTATATGTCAGTAATAACCATTTAGAAAAAACACTTTCAAAATGTTCCTTAATAATAACACAAAATATAAAACATCTAATTATATACACAGCCAGAAATCTTTTTTGTCTCTATTAGTTGAGCTCCCAGTAACATTTTAAACTTTTAGGCATTCTTGCCGAAATATTTTTGGGAGAAAAAGAGAAGGTAGAAGAAGGGTAGATGGACATGATCAATGTATGAGATAGGCATGTATGAAAATATCACATTGGATCCCCTTAATTCATATAAGTAATATATATTAATTATAATAAAATAATTTAAAAATAAGGTATGTTAGAAATGAAATACTCTTTCTTTGATTTCTGTGAGAACAAACTTGTTTCACATCCTACTTTTCTAGCAGTTAAAGTTTTGGACTACTTCAATTATTGTCCCAAAAGTGACTTTTTTTATTTAACATGAATAATATTTTTATGTTAACATGTTTTATAAAACACCTTGAAATCTATAGAGGTGATGCTATATTGTTCTCAAAATATCCCCTAAGGAGACATGTCATAACATTTTTTTCCATTCTTAGTGTTGTTAATTGGCATTCTATTAACAAAGAACTTTCCCTTCTTTCCCTTCCCCATTTAAAAATATCATGGTCAATTTATGAATTCTTTTATCCAGTGTACTATAGCCCATTAGTGGCATTAGTTTGATTTTCAGATTGACCTAGCTTTCACAATACAAACCCCTGTCTGTCTTCTGTATCCTTTTGGTATATTCTCTTCTTTCTTCAAGCACTTCTTTACTTTTAGATGTAACGCTATTTTCAAGACTTACACTTTTCTTGCTCCAGCTATTAAGTCATCAGTTTTACACTGTTTTCAAGACTTATACTTTTCTTGCTCCAGCTATTAAGTCATCAGTTTTTTCCAAGGATCCCTTGTTCTTTTTACTGAGAATCGTATTTAGGGTTTCCCTTCAAAATTAGTCTTCTTCTAGTGTGGCTTGTCTTAATGGTTGCTTTAAAAGCCCCAAGCATAGGTGTCATCCCTAACCCTCTCACACAGTTGAGTGTTGAGTAACGCATGCCTCCTATATAACCCTTGAATCTATCCATGTTGTCATGCAGTGAGATCTGTCACCACCACACCTCTGTATTCTAAATTTCGTTGCTGGAATACCCTTCTGCCTGGTGGTCTTTCATCAGCTTTTTTTTTAATACTTCTTCCCCTCAGTCTTCCCTTCACTTTAGGTAGAGTCATCTTTTAAAATACAAATCAAATTGTTACCCTGCATAAGACATTTTAATTGCTCTGTTTGTCTCTCAGAATAAAGTCAGCATTTCTTCTATGGCCTACACACCCACCTGTATCTCTAGGTTTCTGTTGTACTGGGCATCCTGTGATCTCTACACACCACTCACTAAAGCCTTTCCTTAATGTCTTGTGCTCACAATGATCTTCTTTAGGGACCTTTTCATGATCTCTTCCTTTTGCCTAGAAGCCTATTTCCTCTTCCCGCTACTTCCATTCTGTTTGTTAACTATCCCTTCCCTTTCTGCCCTGAAGTGATCAATTGTCTTCCATCATAGACTCCTCTAAACGTATATATTTCCTTTATAAAACTTGTCGTAATTTTAGTTTGTGATTATTTAATAGCTATCTGACTCACCAGACTAGAGATTAGTAGACTTTTTCTATAAAATGCTGGATAGTAAAGATTTTAGGCTATGGAGGCTTATGGTCTTTGTTGCAACTGCTCATTTCTGCTACTGCAGCGTGAAAACAGCCATCATTGATATGTAAATGAATGAGTAGGACTGTGTCCCAATACAAAGTTTATATACAAAAACAGGCACTGTGCTAGATTTGGCCCATGGGTTATAGTTTGCTAACCCCTGTATCACACTATAAGTTCTGTGAGGGGAGGAGTTCTGTATCCCCATTACTTTCCAGAATTCTTAGTACATAGGAGGAGTTCCAAGAAGTGTTAAGTGACTGTGATGAATATAGGAATGAATAATTTATTCAGATAACGTCTGTGATCCTTGGTGTCCTCAGGTCAGATTTTTGTGGGGTTTTTTGTTCATTGGGTTGGTTTGGGTTGGGTTAGGTTGAGAGGCGGTGTGCACGTGTGTGTGCACATTAGGCATCAGACCCAGGGCCTTTTGCATGCTAGACAAGTGTTCTACTGCTGAGCTATCAGAATTTCAAAAATCCCCATTACTTCTATGATTCTGTAAATGGCAATCAAATATGATTATTCAGATGAAACAAAATAAAACAGCTTATAAATAATATTAGAATGAGGAATTCCTTAAAATCTTTTGTCAAGGAAAAAGAACCAAACTAAGACTCTTTCAAAGAAGTAGAATGCCTTTGAGGAAGAGGATTGTAGTTTCAGGATTTCAAGAAAGAATTAAGAATTCATGATTTATTTTTTTAATTATTGGAGGAAGAGGAAGGTATTGTCAAAGATACTTTAAGTGCTTAACACACCCTTCAGTGTGGTGAGTGTGCAGAGCATGAACATAAGACAGGACAAGGGCCAGGGATTTAGTTCAGTGGTTTCACCGCCTGCTGCGCAAGCGCAAGGACCCGAGTTCAATCCCCGGTACCAAAAACAAACAAACAAAAAAACAAACATAAGACAGGACTAGCTCAGAGGAAGGTAAACAAGGTAGCCACTGGTTGCCAAGGGCCATGTGAAATTTGAACAAATAGTAGTGTCATTATAATTGAGTTCTGTTTCCTTATTCACACCCACCCAGTTTTAATGATGTCATGGTTTTTCCATGTGGGAAGGAGTATGACTGGTGGTGGTAGTGGAGTTCCCCCCACCATCCTCTGTACTACACATATGCAAATTAGTAATATTTGTAGCTATTGAGAAGTTTTCCATAAGTGACATCTTGAAACTTTTGTTAAATATTGTTAGTGTTTAACCTCTTTATAATTTAAAAAAAACCCCTCATTTCAATGTATCTTATAACTTCATGTAATATGGCACAAAATATATTCCCTTGCTACTAGTAGCTGTGAAATTGGGGCTGAAAAATTACATCTCTTGAGGGTCTAAGCAGGCAGCATGAATAAGCATAGAGGATCAGGTGTAGGCAGACTTAGCAGATACTGTAGCAAACTAGAGAGCCCTTTGTCAATGTGGCCACAGGTGCTCGGTCTCAATTAGTTGTTTCTGTAAGAAGCTAGTATTGCAGGACCTCTAAAATGTTCATGAAGCCAGAACTACAGATGTTCATATACAACTACAGGCTTTACAAAACATATCTGTGAACTTCAGGCTGTGGGCATCTTTTTATACTCTTTGCTTTATATGATCAAGCACACAGATTTCAGTTATTTAATTATCAGTTCATTTGTTTGCTTTTTGGTGTTGCTTTCCTGTTAATCTTTACTTTGGTGTATTTGACATAGGCATATTGGTAAGATATAATTGTAAAATATTATAAAGATGATATAGTACTGTAATACTATTTTCTTTTGACAATTCTATAAGAAATATTATGCCACTTTTTTACTCTAACCTCTTTATCATAGCAGTTAGAAGTACAGTTCAAGGGCTGGGGATTTAGCTCAGTGGTTCCGCCGCCTGCCTCACAAACACAAGGTCCTGAGTTTGATCCCTGGTACCAAAAAAAAAAAAAAGAAGTACAGTTCATGGTTTTGTACCCCTGACAGCATGATGACTTCTCAGTGCTGGATGTATGCTCGATTTCTGTAGTATTCCTTTTATTTAGCTATAATGCAGTTTTAAAAGGTTTTTTTTTTCTTCTAGTTTTCAAAATTTAGGTATTCGATGTGTAAAGAAAAAAGAAGTAAAAGAAGCTGTTATTTCAAGAATAAGTGCAGGAATAAATCCTTTCAATGGTAAGTATATTTGATGTAATAATTTCTGTTACTTAGATACTGACTTACTGTGTGACTTCTATTTATATCCTGAGCTGTACTTTAAAAGTGATTTAGAGAGGCCAGGGATTTAGCTTAGTGGTTCTGGCGCCTGCCTCACAAGGGCAAGGTCCCAAGTTCGATCCCCAGTACCCAAAAAAAAAAGTGATTTAGAGTTTTGTGTTCAGTTTTCTGCTTGTTGATTTATACTGCATTTGAGGAATGAAATGTTTTTAAAACGTTTCAGTTTTTAGGAAAAAATTCTAATACAGACAAGGCTTTCTGGTATCACTGGAGAGTGTCACTGTTTAAGGAAACCTTCTCAGAATGTTCTGATTCTTTTTGAATGTGGCCTTCCCTATGCCACTTTCCAACAGAGAATTCTTCTGAATGTTGAATATTCACTGTGGTTATGAGGTATTGGAGTGCATTTAATTTAAAGGCATATTCAACAGCAAAACCTAATCCCAAATATGAAAGTACAGAAATAGTAGAAGCCACACAAACTATTTTCATAGTGTATTTGTGTATATGGCTCGATATTTACTGTTCAGTAAATTTTATTTGGGATAGCATTTATTAAACATTTATGTATATGGCACTGTCTGGATATGGCACCTGGTACTTTTTAGCACTCTGTATTGCTTAAATAGATAAATGCTGGTATTTTATATTCTTGGTAGCCTTCATTCTAAAGTCTTCTGCAGCTACTTAAGCATATCAGGAATTGAATAATTATAAAATTCACAAAGAATAAATTTCTTTGTCATATTTAAGACATCCTTATATTGTAGGCTTGTATTTTTTCTAGATGTATGAAAATAATTTGAGGAAATGATGATAATTTAAGGAATATGCTCACAAACAGGTACTGTTTTTATGAGCTGTAGGATGTGTATATCTTTTGTGTGGGTCCTCATTTTTCATACTATTTAGTATTAAGTAAAAGTCCCCTTTCTCCCCTCCAGTGTTACTTGCCAGAAAAGATTATTATGAAGTTTGATGTGTATTTTTCTAAAATTTCCTTTAACATGTATAGTCATATATAGACATATTTTTATGTTAAAAAGATCATTTTATGCCTGCTATGTAACTGCTTGTTTTTTTCTACTCAGGATTATATCTTTTTTTTTTTTTTTTTGGTACTGGGGATCGAACTCTGGTCCTTGTGCTTGCAAGGCAGGGGGCAGAACCACTGAGCTAAATCCCGGCCCCGCCACTCAGGATTATATCTTAAACATCTTTCCATGTCAGTACTTACAAATCTATTTTATTTTCCAACAGATTATTCTGCTGTTTGGGTAGACTAATTTGTTTATTCTAATGAACATTTACCTTTTTTCAGTTTATTTAAGAAGCTCTTGTGTGATTATTTCTCTAGGATAAATTTTCAGAAATGGGAAAATTCTGTATCAAGAGTCTGTTCACTCAAAGCTTTGATCCACTGTCAAATGAAGGCCAGACTTTAAATTTTTTTTTTTTTGAGAAGTCCATCCAAGTCTGGACACAGTGTAAAACAAGGAGATTATAAACAATTGCTATCATTTATTAATAAGCACTTATTAATAAGTGTTTTATCTACGCTTTTTAATTGGATCATTGAACAACACTGCTTTACAGAAGAGAAAACCAAAGCTTTGATCATATACCATCCCAAGGTAGTCAAAATATAAATGCTAGCTGGAATTCAAACTCAATTTCTTGATGCCAGTGGCAAAGGCATTAAAAAGGAAAATGAGAGAGTTTTTTTCTTTCACAGTCTAGAACTGGACATGAGATTAGTAATAAACATACAAGTAGCACTTAAAGTAATTCTTGGTAGATAGTATTTTATGTATTTATTTCATTTAATCCTTGTAACAACCTAAGAAGTAGATACTATACATATTTTCATTTTATAAATAAGAAAATGGAGGCATAGAAAAGTAATTTGCTGAAGGTCCTATAGCTGGTAAGTGGTGAAGGCAAGATTTGAACACAAGTTTTATAATTTATGATCTTAACAACCTTTCTATGCTGCCTAAATGAATATAAATTTGTGGTTGGAACAATTCTGCCAGTTTATCCGTCACATTATTTATGCTTTCAGTGGTCACTTAGATATTTTGTTATTTTTCTTTGTTCCTGGTGGAGAGGAACTAATCCAAGCCTTGGATATGCTAGGGAAGCACTCTACCACTGAGCTAACATCTGCTAGTTATTGTTTTATCACCCATTTCTTCCTCTCTTTCCTGCCTCCCTACTTTAGGAACTCATCATTTCACAATTTGAGGTACAGTCATTTTTTCCCCGTTGGAATACTCTTAGAATAGTTCTTTATCAAAATGTTGTGTTCAGAAACTTGCAGTGGCTTCTTATATAGTCTAAAAACTAAAGGTCCCCACATTCAAAGTCATCTACATATAGCTCTATCATCTTTCCTGTCTTCTCTTCCACTGTGTCTTGAACCCCTAACTATTCCTGAAACAATCTGGAAAAAATCTGGTTCACCCATCCTGACCATCTTTGTCCAGTCCTGTCTAGTCTTTTCATTGACATTGTAGGAGTATAGGCTTGCATCAATTTTTAACCTAGACTATTGGTGTTAACCTCTAAACTTATGTCCCTTCCTTTATTCTTGGCCTCCTTCCAAAAAAGATCCAAAGCATCCAAAAAAAAAATCGTCATGAAATCAATATGACCATTTCAGAACATTGTTTACCTTTGAGTGGCTTTAAATCAACTTCAGCAATAGTTCTCAATTTGTACATGCGTAAGAATCCCATAGTACTTATTTAAAATGTACATTCTAGGCCACATTCCCAGGCCTGGCATGGAGCCTAGGGATGTGCATTTTAAAAAGTACATTTAGACAGGTGTTTCTAAACTTTTTTGGGGGGGGTACCAGGGATCGAACTCAGGACCTTGAGCTTGTGAGGCAGGCGGCATAACCACTGAGCTAAATCCCCAGCCCTCTAAACTTTTTGAACTACAGTAAGAAATTGATTTTATTTCTCCATTCAGTACCTACACATCCATACATATCACATCTTTACTACAGTACCCTTACCTTAAGCCTTAGTCTTTGCTGCATTTTATATTTTCCCTCCCTTCTTCCTTCTCTTCCTCCCTCCCTCCTTTTCTTTTTTATTCTTTTTCTTCTTTCTTTCTTTCCTTCCAGAAAATGCTTATTTAATCTACTAAACTAATTTCATGACTTTTAGGTACTAAACTGCAATTTGTAATCTCTGCCCCTAGATGATTCTGATACAGGTGAACCTTGAACCACATTGTGAGAAACTGATCTACTTACTGAGTTCAGCTTCTCAAGCATGCCATTCAAACCTAGTTCTATTCCAGTTTTCATTCTCTTCCACCACTGCTTGTATACTTTGTTTTTGTCATTCTGAACTATTTGCATTGTTAGGAAGCTGTGTTCTTTCTTGCCACTGTGGTTTTATACGTATAATTCCTTTGTATGGAATGCTCTGTTCTGCTTAAATTCTTGATCAGACTTCAAGTTTAAGGATCACACCCTCTTTGAAGCCTTCCTTCTCCTTCCCAAACAGAGCTGAGTATTCCTTCTGTTTTCCCAAAGTATTTATGTATATTTCTAGTATGGTTTACCAAAACTTTATTTACATGTTTCTCCTTCACTAAGTCTGGAGGGTGGGAACTGTCTTCTGGGTGTATCTACCATTTAGCCCAGTGTCTGGCACATGATTATGGTTTAATTAAATTTTGTTGAAAGAAAAAAGACAAATGTATGAATAAACATGCCTTATTTGTATTTGTCTACCAGAAATATTCAAGTTGTTTTTCTAACTCCAAATTCTCCAAAAGCCTTTTCAATTCTCTTAAACCCAAGGTTATATTCTCTTAGTTATATCATTTGCCCAGCATTGATAATGAAAAGTTTCATGACATCTACTGGATAATTTAATTCTTAAGTGACTGTCTGCCAAGATGGATGCCATTATTCCTCAAATTGATATAGATTCAGTGCAATCCAAACAAAATACCAGCAAGATCTTTTAATTAAATATGAGAATATAATTCAAAACAGGAATAGGAAGATACTTTTTAAAGAGGAATGATGAAAAGAAACTGATTTTATCAGATACAGATATTTATAAAGCAGTAGTACTGAGGTAAGGCTGCATAGATTGACCAGTAGAGTAGAATTGAGTGGCCAGAAACGGATCTAAGAAAGTAAGAGAGTTTAGTGTATGAAAGAAGTGGCTTATCAGAACAATTAGAAAATGTTTGAACAAGAAGAAAGAGAAAAAAGTTGGGGAAAATTGTTAATTAAATTGGACTTCCTACCTCACACCCTGTATGAAAATCACACAAAGATGGGTTAAAATTTTTGTAGGGGGTTACCAGGGATCGAACTCAGGACCTTGTACTTGCAAGGCAGGCATGCAGCGCCACTGAGCTAAATCCCTGGCCCAAGACTTTTTAACTTTTTTGTTTGTTTGTTTGTTTGTTTTGAGTCAGGGTCTTGCTGTGTAGTTCATCCTGGCCTTGAACTCGCTATGTAGCCCAGGCTGATCTAGAATTCTTGGCAATCCTCCCTCCTTGCCCTCCCAAGTGCTGGGATTACAGGTGTGTGCCATCATACACATCTGGGTTAAAGATTTTTAATGTAAATCAACACTTAAAAACTCTTGGTAGACAATATTGGTAAATATACTTCAGTTCTTGTGGTACAGAAAAACAAGATGCAAAGTTTTCTATAAAATAGTAAATTTGATAATCTTAATTCCAGTTTATTATATTTTTCAAGTATAGGATATATTTGGCTTCTTAATTTCAGGTTCCCCATTAATCTCTTAATCTTATTTTTTAACTCATTGACTATACAGTATTGGGAATAATTTTTTTCATCATTTCTTGGCCTTTTGGCTAAGATCAAGTGGAGAATAATTATTTTAAATCATGGCTCTGAAAACTTCATTATAAGAATCTAATGTGGTCTAGTTTTTTGTTGTGTGTGTATATGTGTGTTTATTATTGTGTTTGTGTCAAACCCAGTGCCTCACCTGTACTATGCAAGTGCTGTACACTGAGCCAAATCCTCAGCCCTAGTCTTTTATTTTTTAAAATATGATTTTATTTTGTCTTCTTACATACTTGGTTATTGAAAGAAGAATACTAGACATTGAGACGAAAACTTGTAAAATGTTTAGATCTAAGACAATATTATCTCCTTGCAGATTTTCTTCTTGTAGATAGCTAGGTGTACTAGCAATCCTAGATTCCCTGAAATCAGTGAATGATTTAGGTCATTTGAAGCTGGATTTTCATCTCCCTGAAGTCTAGTATATTTCTAGTTCACCTTTCCTCCTGGGGTGTAGCTCTTCCAGATCCCAAATGCTCCAAATAATAGGGCATTTATTAGATTTCCCATCCCTGGCAGACATTGAACTCTTATTTTCCTCCTTTATTGTGAGTTCATCTCTATTTCTTATCGTTTTAGCCACCTCTTAATTGGCAGGCTATATCTAGATAAAGTGATCTCTTATTCTGAACTTTAGGTTTCCTTCACCCATATCCCCCTACCCCTTCCTTCCTGCCTTCTTTTGCAGTGCTGGGGTTTGAACCTAGGGCCTTACATGAGCTAGGCAGTCACTCTACCACTGAGCTCTACTCCTTTCCCGTATTTTGACCCCATGATTTTTCATGACCTTATTAGTTCTGAGTGATATTTTTAGAGGAATTTGAGTTTTGTCCACTTAGTTCTCAATAGTTATGTGTGTCATATGCCATTACCACAAATTGTACCTCATTTTGTTAACTTTTACTTTCAGTTTTCTTTAGCAGTTATAAGATATCTAAATGATTGTTCAACAGACCTTTCATTTCCATATATGGTACTGAGAAAATTCAAAGCAAAATTCTCATAAGAAATGAATTTTTGAGAGCTGGGGATTTAGCTCAGTGGTTCCACCGCCTGCCTCGAAAGCTCAAGGTCCCGAGTTCGATCCCTGGTATCAAAAAAAGAAAATTCAGAAATGAATTTTTGAGAAGTAGGTAGAATTTCTTCACTTTGAGGGAACCATTATGTAACTAAATGTTTTTAATTTTTTGGCTTATTATCTTTTGGGTAACATTTTTAAATACTTTAAATATACTTTCACTGAGATACAGAATCCACCTAAATATAGTTTCCCATGTGACCTTGAGCTAAAGAATATTTCCAGCTGAGCATGATGACACATGCCTATAATACCAGCACTCTGAAGACTGAGCCAGGGGGATCCCAGGTTTGAGCCAACAGTGGGCAATTTAGTGGCTGAGAAAGACCTTGTCTTATAATAAAAAATAACATTAAAGGGCCAGGTATTTAGCTCAGTGGCACCGCACCTGCCTCGCAGGCCCAAGGTCCTGAATTCAATCTCCGGTACCAAAAAAAAAAAAAAAAATTAAAAAAAAGAGGAATAGGGCCGGGGATTTAGCTCAGTGGTTTCGCCGCCTGCTGCGCAAGCGCAAGGACCCGAATTCGATCCCCAGTACCAAAAAAAAAAAAAAAAAATATTTTCATCACCTGCCAGAATTTCCATAGTCCCTTTTCTCAGTCAATGACCCCTGCCCCAACAAACTCCCAATCTGCTTCCTTTCACCATGTATGTATTAATCTTTTCAAGAATTTTGTATAAGCATATAGTCCTTTTTTTGTCTAGTTCCTTTTACTCAGCATATTTTTGAAATAAATCTGTGTTGGGGTGTTTATATCCATAATATATTCTTTTTAATTGATAATATTACATAGTCTGATGATACCACAACTTGTTCATACATTTCACAAAGGTTATTTTTTGGGGTTTTTTTATTTTTATTTTTTGTTTTGGTACCGGGGATCGAACTTGGGTCCTTGCGCTTGCAAGGCAGCCGGCGGAACCACTAAGCTAAATCCCCGGCCCTCACAAAAGTTATTTTTAAGCTTGTCTGGAGCACCTAGCTACTCATTTTTTTTTTTTGGTACCGGGGATCAAACTCGGGTTCTTGACCTTGTGCAGCACGCGGCGAAACCACTGAGCTAAATCCCCGGCCTAGCTACTCATTTTGTGTGTGTGTATATTGATTATTCATCTTTGAAATTGAGAGACACTGAAATCTCAAACTCTAAATTTATATTGCTTTAAAACTTGATTTTGAAGAGATAGACCTCTTATTGCCTCTATAATGGTTCCTCTATGCTTTTATGATGCAAGTGTTGGCATCATAACATTTTAGCTTTCAGACATACATATGTGTTCTATACTTATTCAAATGTTATGCTTAAGAATGGTTATACTGACATAAATTTAAATCTGACAGCTACTGAGACTGTGTGTATCATTAAATAAAATATATTTTTATTACTACCTATAAGATTAAGGAATTTGGTTAATTGGTTTTCCAGATTTAGGATTTTAAATTTGAATATTTAACAAAATAAAATTTTAATATTTAATATGTGTATTTTGTGCTTTTAAAAATATGGCAATATTAGTTATAGTGTAGCTTCTGGTATTCTTTGAAAAGGCAATATTTTCTTTTGGAACTGGGTTTGTTTTCAATATATCAAACTGTATATTCTGTCATATATATGTATATAACTGCAACATTTTTCTATGGTAGGGTCTTTTTTTTAAGCAAATTTAATTTGCACATAAAGTTTCTTGTGGAAACTAGCTGTTTTATGTCATTTGGTATCTTTTTTGACATTTCATTCCTAAAGTGTTGATCTAAATTTTAGTCTGTATTCCTGTGTATGTCATTTTTATGTGGAAAGAAATAAAAATTTCTGATTTAATTTTTAAAACCAATAGGCTCTAGGTTGAGTGATTGGAGTTCAAATTCCCATCTTACTAATTCTTAGCTGTGAAACTTTAAACAAGTAATTTCATTTAAGTTCCTCATCTATAAAGAAGGGAATGATAGTAATTCTTTCAAGATTTATAAGATAATGTATAGATTTGATCTATTATGTATAATTTGCTTCCATTTAAAAAATTTTTTGATATTAATGTTTAGGACTCTAAATCCCAGATAACTGAAATAGTTAAATCCTGAACATGGCTATAATTTATCAAGTACTCTTAGATAGTGAATGCTTGATTATAAAAGGCACTATTTAGTTTTCTTTGTTTTGTTTTGTTTTGTTTTGTTTTTTGGTACCAGGGATTGGGTCCTTGCGCTAAGCAGCGAAACCTCTGAGCTAAATCCCTGGGTCTAAAAGGCACTATTTCGTTAGTACAGATATGGATGCTACTCAAGGTTGTTGGCTGTAATGGGTGGGGAGCAAGACGTAGCAGGATTTTAGTACTGTGACTGTACTACATTCTAAAAAGAACAATGTACTGTTTAGTTCCGGAACAGCAGCTGCTGGATATTGAAGATTGCGACCTCAATGTGGTCAGACTGTGCTTTCAAGTTTTTCTTCCTGGTGAACACGGTAATTTGACAACTGTACTACCTCCTGTTGTCTCTAACCCAATTTATGATAACCGTAAGTACTTTATTTTCTTGTATTTGTAGACTTTCTTAGTTTGTTTTTTTTTTAAACTAATTTTAAAGTATTTTGATAATCAGAAAAATGTATGTTCATTCTTGGAAAATCGCAGACATTACAGAAATGTATGTAACAAAGAAAGTAAATCTCCTATAATCTCATCCTCCAAAGATAATCATAGTTCTTTGATGCCTGTTTTGGCAATTTCTTCTTCATCTATACAAATACATCATCACCATCATCATCATTATACAAAATAATTTTGCAGCATTAAAAAATTATCACTGATCTTTTAAAAAACTTTTTTCTCTTAGGAATGTATCTTGAACTTTTCTTTTTAGTTACATTTTTCTTTTCAATAACATGAGAGACTTTCATTATATGGCTATATCATAATTTTATCAAATCATTATTATAAGATATTTGTTTCCTTTAATATCTCTTCCTGCCTAACAAACTGTACTGCAATAAATACTGTTTTGTGTCCACATCTTGTGCAGCTATTTCTCTCATGTAGATTTCCAGAAGTAGAAATGCTAGATCAAAAGATATTGAAATTTATCATTTGATTATGAAACTGCCCTCAAATATTTTTTAATGTATAAACACATACCTACATATATGTTTACCAGTGGTGGATGATTATACCTGTTTTGCATGTAAAAGGATAGTGAGACAGGGCTTTTAGGTAGATTAGAGTATCCTCATCATGGAGAGCTGTGGATGCCAGGGAAAACTACAGTATTATAATCATATTGGCCAGATAAAAGCAAAAAACTGCATTGCCCTATAGATATGGCCAATGACTTAGGAAGATTAATCCAGTGACAGTGGGTAGGATGGATTGGAAGAATCAGAATCAGAAGCAGGGAGATTTATTTAGAGAAAATGTCATTGCCTAGAAATAAAATCGTAAGGCTGTAAGCCAGATTAGGGAAAGAAATTTCTAGAAAAGAAAGGGACATATGTGGGATGATTAATTTAGAGTCTTTTATCTGTACATTAAAAGTTTTAATCTATTATGTAAATGATTTTCCCCAAATTCTCCCCCTCACACCAGAATAAAATGCATTACTGAGGTAGCAACTTATTTTAAAAAGATCCTTTATATTTAGGTGCCCCGAATACTGCAGAATTAAGAATTTGTCGTGTAAACAAGAACTGTGGAAGTGTCAGGGGAGGAGATGAAATATTTTTACTTTGTGACAAAGTTCAGAAAGGTACTTACTTTATTTTTCATTGAATCCATAATATATTTTAGATTAATAGATGTCTATTACTATGTTTTCCCATTGTTATTATTTCTTTGACTTATTTACTAGATGACATAGAAGTTCGCTTTGTGTTGAATGATTGGGAAGCAAAAGGTATCTTTTCACAAGCTGATGTACACCGTCAAGTAGCTATTGTTTTCAAGACTCCTCCATATTGCAAAGCTATAACAGAACCAGTAACAGTAAAAATGCAGCTCCGGAGACCTTCTGACCAAGAAGTTAGTGAATCTATGGATTTTAGATATGTGCCAGATGAAAAAGGTATGACACAACACTGTGGTAGTACTAATTTATATATTTCTTAAAGTTGATCCTATTAGTAACATTGTAAGATACATTTAAGTAGTTATATGTATGCACAATTTACATTTCTTTTCCTATAAGTTTCAAATTTTTTTCCTTTGTGCTCTTTGCATCTCTGTTAGGAACATTTGATTTAGCTGAAATAATTTCAGAGTATCTAAAATGTTTATCAAAATTTGTTTTATTTTTGGTAGTCTGTTTTTGTCCTTATTGTGCCCTTTTTATAGATGGAAAACTTGTTTTAGTCCTTATCCTTATCTTGCTTTAGTTCTTATTTCATTGGTTAGTATTGACTTACAGTTTTTATAAGAAACAAGATAACTATTTTGAACTGTTTTTATTAAGAGAAAATATACTTTGTGACAAATCTGGGATATATTCTATAATAATATACTTATTAAATCTATATTATGTATATTTCTTTAGAGCATTTTCTTCATACAAATAAAATACCTGTTTATTAATGGAAAGAAAGCATAATTTCATGATGATTCACCTGCTTTTTTGGTTTTTCTTTTTTTTTCTTGGTCTCTTTTTTAATCAGATACTTATGGCAATAAATCAAAGAAACAAAGAACAATTCCATTTTTCCAGAAACTTTGGCAAGATTCTGGTAAGAATATTTTAGATTGACTCATATTTAAGTAGGTTTTGTTTTATTTGGTTTCTCAGATTTTAAGTGATAAATTATTCAAATTATATTTATTAATGGAAAAATCTTCATTGTAACAGTTAACTTTCCAGAGAGACCAAGACCTGGCCCCCCAGGGTCAAATGGAGAAGGAAGACTCATCAAAAAAGGTATTTTATTCCCTGTAGACTATTCCTTGTGATCTGAAAGTCTAGGGCTTTGCATGGTGCATTAGAATTCTATTTTTAAGAATAAACAACTGACTGCTTCCTTGATATTTTCCTCTCCTACAAATTTTGTCTTTCTTTTACTATGTGAATTGAGCTTGGCTTCTGAACATTGTGTTGAAAAACATGTCTAGGGTATTTATTGTTTGAGAAAGTACATTTTATTCATACAGTGATAATTTCACTAATTGCATTGTGTGATGAAAGAAATGATTAGATCTGTCTAGTCACCTTTTTTTTTTTTTGGTACCAGGGATTGAACTCAGGACCTTGCGCTTGTGAGTCAGGCGGTGGAACCACTGAGCTAAATCCCTGGCCCCACCTATCTTTATAAATAAAGTTTTATTGGAAGACAGCCGTATTCATTTGGTTATGTACTGTCTCTAGCTGCCCTTTTTTATTTTTTTGGCAGTACTGAGGATTGAACCCAGGGCCTCACACACTAGGCAAGTGCTTTAACACTAAGCTACACCCTCAGCCCTGGTTTTGTTTTTGTTTTTGTTTTTGAATAGTTCCAGCAGAAATGGTATAGCCCATGAAGCCTAAGATATTTAACTATCTGGCCCTTTATAGAAAAAAATTTTCCTAACCCTAGTTTAGATCATTCAAACAAGGGTTAATTAAAAGTCTTTTTCCTCACCTGTTAAGCTCTTCACCCATCATTTTTTCCTGCTTTACTACGTGTAGCATTTGTGTAATCCATAAATTAATACAGAATTAATTTTTCCTTAATTTTTTTCTGATTGAGAATTTTGTATCTTAAGGTCATGGCTTAATATATCTTAAAAGTTACTTTTCATTCATCTCTAATACATGTTTTCCCCATCCTTCCATTTTCTCCAAAAAGCAAAACTATGAAATGATATACCTGGTTATTTAATTCCTGTCCACTGAAATTCTGATATTAATCTTTCACTTTTTAAAAATACATGTACATAGGCCAGGGATTTAGCTCAGTGGTTCCAGCGCCTGCCTTGCAAGTGCAAGGTCCTGAGTTCAATCCCTGGTACCAAAAATAAAAAATAAAAAATAAAATAAAAATACATGTACCAGGGCCTCAAAAGATAGATTTTCATATTTAACTGGAGTGAAATTCCATATGACAAAATGACTTACAAAAATCATTTTACATATATTTATAAAAGTTACATATTACAGCATTCAATACATTTTTAAGAATTTTTATTTGAAATGTTACATCCGTTGCTTTGACATTTTTCTTTATTAATATTTTTCCAATTTTAATTTAGAAATAATGCTGTGTATAATTTTGTTTATTTTAATTTTATAAAATACATTTTTCTTCCCACAGAATCAAACTTGTTTCCTCATGGTACAGTTATTCCAGAAATGCCCAGGCCTTCAGGGGTTTCAAGTCAAGCAGAACCCTACTATCCCTCACCAGTGTCCATCTCAGGTGGATTGTCACATCACACTTCAGCCATGTCCTCAATGGTATCTCAGCATTCTTCAAGTTGGTCATCAGTACCCCACCCCACCTCACGCTCACTGAGTACTTTTTCAACAGGGACACTTTCTTCTAATTCACAAAGCATCCCACCATTCCTGGCAGTGCCTTTTGTGAGTGACTTAAATGCTTCTAATGCTTGCATTTATAACAGTACTGATGACCTAGGCAGAATGGAAACCTCCTCCGTGTCACCAGCTCACTTATATGGTATTTCTGATGCCACCATGCTGCCTAATGTGATGACAGCCAGCAGGGACACCATGGAGGAGACAGATAACTCCAGACTTGTGAGCATGAATCTTGAAAACCCCTCCTGTAATTCAATGTTAGATCCAAGAGACTTAAGACAACTCCATCAAATGTCTTCTTCCAGTATGTCAGTAGGTACCAATTCCAATACTGCAGTTTTTGTTTCACAGTCAGATGCATTGGAGCGATCTGACTTTAATTGTGCAGATAACAGCCTGATAAATGAGCCGGGACCATCAAATGGTACTAATCCAAACAACCATAGTTTTCAAAATAGTCAGTATTCAAATATTGGTAATATGCACAATGAGCAAGTGAGTGAGTCCTTTGCATATGATTTTTTTTAAGTATAATTTGGAGGATTTGAATCCTTTAAAATGTTCATGATCATTTTGGTAGTACCTATACAGATGCAGCATTCCATATTTGTATAACCAAAACTATAACACAATGCTGTTTCTATTTTTGAAACTTCTTTTTCATAGAAGTATCAAACTTTAGATGTGTATAGAATACAAGCTTTGGATGTATATAAAATACAAAATTTGGAAGTTATAAAGAGAAAATTTAAGATAAACATGGTGGTGCATACCTCTAACCCTAGCACTCAGGAAGCTGAGGGAGAGGATCAAGAGTTCAAGGCTAGCCTGGGCTTACTTGTGAGACCTTGTCTCAAAAAATGAAAACAAAAAAGAGAAATTTTCTTTTTTCTTTGTTTCTTCTCTTGAAAGATCTGACCTGATAGTGGGTGTCATGTGAATTCTATCTTCAGAGTTCTACTGCATTTCCCCAGGAAAGACTCTAGGGAGAACATTAAAGCAAGAAGAGTTTTTTCTAATTTTATATTTCTTTTATAACATATTAATGTATGGTTAAATGAACTGATATTTGCTTTCAAGCAAATTTAAGGGAAAACTTGTAATGGCTATGCCATTGGAAAAATAAATTACTTTTTTTTTGAGGCCTGTGCACCCCTAAGGGGTTTTTAGAGGCTTCTTGGAATTTCTCAGATTTATATGTAAATCAAAATTTCTTTAAAATGTTAAGTTGTGCAGAAGGCAGTTGAAGTGAGCTTTCAAGGTATGGGAGGATTCCTCCATTTTATACTATTTAAATCTGTATCTTTAAAGTTGCATAAGCAACTTTAGCTTTGCACCCACATTTTCAAGACAAAGAAGCTTCTTTGCACTCTTCTTTCTTAGGCATTCTCACTCCCTATGGTCTCATACAACTGCCTGTTTGACATCTAGAAATCTAATTAAAACTCAAATATCTAATTAAAACTCAGTGTATCCAAACCTAAGTTTTTGGTCTTTCCTCCCAAATTTGGTTCTCCTTCAGTCTTCTCCAACTCAGTAAATGGCAATGCCATGCATCTAATTGCTCAGACCAAAAGTCTTGGCATCATTCTTGATTCTTTTATCTCCCATATCCAGTTCGTCAGGAAGAATCCATCTTAAGTGAAAGGTTTACACTTCTTTTACCCTTGAGCCTGCAACAGGTAAGGTCTTGCTAATTTCTGACATGCCCTCAAGGTATATTTCTTCTTGTCCCACTTCAAAGTCCTTGATTTCTTTTTAATTGTGCTAATCTCTTCAGGAACCATACTTCTTTTGGCCCCGACTTTATACATGGTTCTTTTCAGACCAGAGTTTTTCAGATATTTCAGCTCTGCTTTTTGCTTCAAGTTTTCACTTATAGATCTGGCAAAAATTAGTTAGCAGTGTTCATACCACTGCCTAAACATTGGGCTGCCTTGAAATTTCCTTTGCCAGATCAATTAGTCTGTTGCCCTCAAACTCAGCCTCCTCAGGATGTGAGCAGAATATAGACATTTTTTTTGCCAGAGTATAATATGTATAATCTTTCATTCAATTTTCCAAGAGTCCTTGTTCCTGTCTGAAACCTCATGAGCACAGCCTACATTCCTATTAGCATTCTGGTCTTCTGAGCTCTGACTGGAATCACCAATCAGTCTGTGCTTAAAGTATTCCAGGGCCTCTCTAAGTCACATCCTCAAATCTTTCCAAACTTATCCACCAGTTCAAAAGGCTTCAGGTATGGTCACAGCAACAACCCTATTTCTGAACTACCAGTATTCTGTATTAGTCACTTTCCTATTGTAGGGCAAAATACCTAACACCCACAACTTTAGGAGGAGAGGTTTATTTGGCTCATGGTTTCAGAGGACTCAGTTCATGGTCAGCTGGCTCCAAGGCAGGAACATCATGGCAGAAGGGCATAGTCAGACAAAGTTGCTTATCAGTTCATGGCAACTGGGAAGCAAAGCACCAGGAAAAAACATCAATGAGAAAGGGACCAGAGACCAGGTATAGTCCTTAAGGTAACACCTCCATGATCCACCCAGACATACTCAGAAATGTGCTTTACTAATCTCAGGTGATTCCCAAGCCAATCAAGTTGACAAGCTTAACTGTCACACTGATCAAGGCCTACCTTGACTAAATTTCACCATTCCTTGTTTCTCTTGATTTCTATACATGTATAGCACTTACCATGATCTGACTTGTCTAAGCATCTATTTATTATGTGTATCCTTTACTGCAATATAAGCTCCATGAGGGCAGACATTCTTGTGTTGTTTACTGTCAAATCTCCAGTTTGTAGAACAGTGTCTGCCTCATGTTAAGCACTCCGTAAATATTTATTAAACATTCAAAGTATTACCAGTAGAACAGTAAATATTTATTAAGCATTCAAAGTATTACCAACAGAACTTTGATTTTTGAAAGAATAGCTTTATTAGATGTTTAAGGTTTTGGGCTGGGGATTTAGCTCAGTAGTTTCGCCGCCTGCTGCACAACCACAAGGACCCGAGTTTGATCCCCGGTACCAAAAAAAAAAAAATAGATGTTTAAGGTTTTTACATTTTGTTATTTGACATTAGGTTTTTGTTAGAATCATATACATTCAAGTCCAGTATTAATAATGGTAATCCAAATTATTTGAAAGCAAAAGAACTCTGTGGCAAAATGAATTTGAGCAGTAATTTAATTGTGACGGTATGATGATGCCAAGTAAGTAACATATTAAAGATCTAGTTTATCTTACAACTAGACGCTACCCTAGATGTTGAATATATCCTTGGCTAGAAATAATATGTCATTTTACTTATACAGAGTCCACCCAAACCATCAATAACCTACCCTAGATGTTAAACATATCCTTGACTAGAAATAATGTGTCATTTCACTTATACAGAATCCACCCAAACCACTAATTTACACAAATTATTCAACCAAAATGGGATATGTGACTATCATATAAATAAAAATTCCCAATTGAATGATACTGGGAAATAGGAAGGAGAGCAAGATAAGACTTGAGGTTAGGATAGTCCAGAAGGCAAAAGAAAAGATTTAAACCCCCTAAGAACCTAGGATATTTTTCAAATTATGATTTTAAAAAGACATACTTGTCCTATAAAATTTAAAAATCACAAGTATATTAATATAGTTTTAGTAGAACTTGCCAGCAAGGGGAAAAAAATAGGGTATAATTTCTTTCCTGTTCAGAATATGAACCCAGAATATCTCCAGATGGTGATTGGTAGGTGGTATGTTATTTTAAAAATACATAATCTTAATTTCATATGAATTAGCACTGATCAGTTTAAACAGACTAGCTCAGTGGATTTTAACTAAATAAGCATTGGCTTGTTTTGCAGTATTTTTCCTCTGTAAGATGGATTAAGGGTCTGCTGTATCTTGTGTTTACAGTATTTCCAGTAGACTTTTCATTTATCAGGTGCTATTTACTGAACATAGAATTTATTTTATAATTTAAAATGCACTTGGCTATCCACTTCTCCTTTTACTCTCACCTTAGTTTTGAGGAAATGATGTCCTTCCTTTCTAAACTCCATGGTGATGAATCCCTTCTTTGTATCTCATACTGTGTTTACTGTATCCTCACATCACCATTTAGTTTTTCCTGTCTTTGTATAAACATAGTAACTGTCTTCTCCAGCCTAAGAAGAAAGGCCAACAACAAAACAAAAACCAAACAATAGCAAAAAATTTCCTATCACCCTTGTGCTCCTTCCCTTCACATCCTAACTTCTCTTCCAGTTTTTCCTGTAGAATCCCAACCACAGCCTTCAGTTGTTGCTTATTTTTTTCAATCTCAGCAATGTCCATAGCTTCAGCTTTCTCTCATGCTGCCTGAATGGCCATATAGATTGGCTTCTCCTATTGCATTCTTTGCTTAATGGCACTATCATTTACCACCTGGGATATTTAATAGATGCCTCAAAATCAGATCTTTATCTTTTTCACACTCAGTCTTAGTCCTTTGGAATCTGCCTCCTAAAAATCTCTGGTATCTGCCCTTTCTTCATTGCCTTTTCTTCACATTCTTAATAAAGGCCTTCTTTATTTCCAACAAGAATCTTCCATAAGCTCCAGTTAAAAACATCCCATTCCCCAACCCAGTTGTTGCCCCATTCCTATAATCCCAGCACTCTGGGAGGCTCAGACAGGAAGACCGAAAGTTGAAGCCCAGCCTGGGCAACTTAGTGACTTGGCAAGACTCTATCTCAAAAAAATAAAAAAATAAAAAATAAAAGGGCTGGGGATATAGTTCAGTATGAAGGCTCTGGGTTCAATTCCCCAATTTCTCTCTTTCTCTCCACCCTCCCTCTCCCTACTCTTCTCTCTCACACACACATGCACACACAAAAGATAGACCGTAAGAGGCAGGGAGATAGATCTTTTGCAAATGGGAAAGGGACCGACAGATGGGAGGGGCATAGAAAGAATTAATATTTGCATTTACCTGTACAAACAACCCACAATGAAGTTATTTTGTACTGCAATCATGTACTAATAAAAAAAATCTGTAAATTTAAAAGTAAATTCTCCTTGAGCCGGGGATTTAGCTCATTGGTTTCGCCGCCTGCTACACAAGCACAAGGACCCGAGTTCGATCCCCGGTACCAAAAAATAAAAAAATAAAGAATAAATAAATTTTCCTTATACCTTCTTACTACATTTTCTCTTGGGAAAAATTTTTTTTGTCAGACCTCCATACTTTTAACATGTTACCTACTCTTCATCTGCTTTTCTGCTACTAGAACATGCATTCTTTTATTTTAGCTTCATTTAACAATTTATTCAACAAGACTAATTGGACATGTACTACATGCTAGGCTTAGTTTTAAGTGCTTAGGACATAATGGTACATAAGACAGAGTAGAAAAAAAGACAGTAGATTCCCTTATGGAGCTTACATTCTAGGTAAATGTTGTTTTTGGAAGCTACTGTAGTCCAGCTCAGTGACTTTTTTTTAAACAACAGAATTGTTCTTTACCTTTGCTAATTCATGGTGGCCTGAGCCATGTGGCCACTGAGCACTTGAAATATGGATAGTATCATTTAAAAAAAGTTTTACTTATAGCCACATATGCTAGTGGATACCATACTGGATAGCAGGAGTCCATACTTGTATAACACTCTTATTCTTGAGACCAGGCTTGTCCATGAGGCTTAGTCCTGCACAAAGGTGCAGTTGTGTATGTGCCCATATGACAGAATTTATAGTTTAAGTATCATCTCATTCATCTCTGGGACTCCAGCACTTAGCACAGTCCCAGGCATAGTTGGTACTGAATAAATGGTAGCTATTCTTAGAGAGGGAAGGGTGAACCTGACATAGGAGTGATTATAACACTTTGGGCAGGGGATGGCTTTTAAAAGAAAAGGTACTTAACCTTGCAGGAAAAGCAATGATGCCAAGATTATTTGTCTTATGAAATACACTTCTCTACCTTGACCTGCTGCCCTCATTTTCTTTTTTAAAACCCTCCTGCAGCCCTTTTGAGATTAAAAGTAGGCTCTATTGAAAATGGTAGTGCCATGTTTTAGGTATAAATTCTAGTTATTAGGATTATTTCATACCTTTGACATAGCTAGCTCTCCTCTATATGTAGCAGGTTTAATCTTAAGTATCCCTCATGCACTTCCTTGATAACCTTACCTCTGTACAGATGCTCCAGTATTTGTATGATAAAACATGTATCACATTTTTTGAATGTCTAATGTCCAAAGCAGGAAATGATACAGGTGAATGAGATTAAACTCTTGCTCTCAAAGATGTCCTTTTTGAGGAATAACACATGTAAAGTCCACTGCTTAAAGTAGACCTATTTTAAGTGTATAGCTTGAAGAATTTTTATGTATGTAAATATTCATGTAATAATTATCCTAGAAATTTCCCTCAGACCATTGCCCAATCTGTACCTCTGAAGCACTGTTCTGATTTCTATCATCAGAACCTGCTATCTTAAAGTGGCCTTTTAAATTGGTAACTGGGTCTGTCTAGTCATGATCTTTATGTACAGAAATGGCTAGGTTGTCAATTTTTAACCTAATCCTTCAGGAAAACTAATTCTATTGTCCATGCTGAGACTTAGAATTGGTAATCCAGGTTGCCTAGTAGCACATAATTTTTTATCAGAGATTGATTTATTGAAAGATTACCACATATTGTTTGTTAAACAGCATGGAGAAACAAAAGAGAATGGGGACTATTTTTAGTCAGATAATACCCAACCTTCCTACCTCATAGTTTGTTTTGTACTAAATAATGTCTAAGAAGAAACACTGTAAATTTCATAGTGTAAAATATAATAAACCAACATTTGTGTATGTCACTTCGCTCTGATTAATCTCTAATCCAGACACCCCTGATTATCTAATCCCAGGAGAGAAAAATCACTGTGGATTAGATGGTTTGGTAAGAGCCTGAAGTGGGTTTCTCTTTAGATTGACTAGCTATTGCCCAAATCTGGAGAACCTTCTTTTGGCCTTATTCTTTGCAGAATTCTTTCCTATTGAAGATAATGCCAATTATTGAATTTACTTTTGAAATTCTGTGATCCTAATCTCTGTGCCAGAGTTGATTATGAATTAGGGGTACTTTGATTCTAATGAAGTTTCCACTGAAAGGTTTCTGATTTTTTCCTGAGGTTGAATATGAAAGGGGAAAATTAGAATTTTTTTCATACCACAAATATAGAAAATTTTATGCTACTTATCATAAGCCCAGGAATAAGTAGTCAGGGATAAATGTATGGGTTGCTTGTACCTCTTTAGACTTAGTCAAATGAGTATTTTAACTAATGTATCATAAAATTTAAAGCAAACACTTTAATAGTGGATAAGATCAAATCTCAAAAGTAACCATATCTACATTTTTTCATGCATGCAAAAAAAACCACTCATGGTCCCACTATCCCTTTTAACAAACAAGATAAAAATGTATTTTTTAATGTATTTTTTTCAGTATCAGGAATCGAACTCAGGACCTTGTTCTTGCCAGGCAGATGCGGTGCCACTGAGCTAAATTCCCGGCCCAAAAATGTGTTTTTTCTTTTAAGGTAACCACTGCATTTAGGTTGAATGTGGTGCCATACACTTGTAGTCTCAGCACTCTGGGAAGCTCAGGGAGGAAAACAGCAACTTAGAAACTGTCTCAAAATAAAAAAGCGGGCAAGGTTGTGGCTCAGTGTACAAATACATGGCACAATGAATACAGATTCCAATAGAATAGAAAATCCAATTTTTTTATGCTTCTTAATGATGAACAAATTTAAAGGGAATGATGAAAATGATTTTTAAAAGTTCTCACTGTTAAATTATTTAAAGTTAAGATTTGTATCAATATGCAATAGTTCTTAAAATGTTAAAATACCTTTTATTGTACAGAATGTTTTATTACCTTTGTAATATCTTTGTATACAGGTTTTTTTCTTGGTAATACAATAAATGTAAAAAATTCTAAAACACTTGCTAAATTTTGTTGCAATTTGACTTAATTTGATTTTCTTAATATTTGTATTTTTCTTAAAACAAAAGTTAGTTTTGGTTTCTAAGGCGTTAAGACATGTTTTTGGAATGCTATTGCTGAATATTTTTTTTGCATTGTGACTCTTGGAAATGAGTATTTTCAGGGTACTGAAATGCCTTTTTGAAAGATTTTTCTCTCTGTTTTTATTTCTAAACAACAGAAACTTACTTTCCCAGTTTTGGAGAGAACAAAAGACTTTTTCTCTAAATCTTATTTAAAAGACTTCTAATTTAAACAAAGCTTAAAGAAATCATAAAACTAATTTTAAAATAGTTTTATATAGGCAAACAAGAAACTAGAGTACTCTCATAAGAGAATGTTCCTAGTTCTGCCTAAACAAAGAACTGCATAAATTTTTAACTTGTCTCAAAATTATATGTGTTATAGACAGCACACATAAATCTACTCGTTGAAACAGGCCTTTTTGTGAAGAAAAGTTTATTCCGGTAAACGGACTAAAATCCGGGATAGATTCTAGTAGCTAGCAGGGAAAGAAAACTATGCTGATATAGATTTAGGGGAAGGGGATATAATCATAAGGAATGTTTATGACCTGGATGCCCAAGGTGTGTAGACAATCACTGGACTTCTCAGCACCAGAGGGATTGTATTCTTCATTTTGGGTCCATTGTCCTATTTACTGAGCGGTTGCTGTTGTTTGCTGAAAGCAGGCTATTTGCTTTGTCCTGTTTGTTTAGGCCAGGTGTGACAATATGAACCTTTGGGCTAAGTACTTACAGCTAATGTTTACTCTTTGCTTGAAATGTTGTATGTCTTAGGAAAAGAAATTTAAGTTTTCTAATTTAAGTTTGCTGAGGAGGTTCCTGAGTCTTCCATATTGCAGGTCCATGGCATTCAGCACTGACTTACTCTAAATTACTTAAATCTCTTTGGTAGCAAAATTTTCCCAGAAATTGAGAGACATCCACACTGAAGTTTTTATCTTTTTGTTAAAATTTATTTGTTATCCTTTTCTCATTTTCTGGCATCAAAAATAGCAAAAAGAAATTAGTTGTTATTACTCGCATATGATGAAGAGTTTCAAGATAGTAGTAGGATTTTTTTTTTGGTACCGGGGATCAAACTTGGGACCTTCCGTTTGCAAGGTAGGCGCCGGAACCACTGAGCTAAATCCCTGGCCCATTAGTAGGATTTTTTTCACGTCAGCTAAAACCATTTTCCTGATATCTAAAGTGAATCTTTGTATCCATGAACTATGTTTAATATAGAAATAAGACTGAGTAATCTAATACTATCAAGTCAGATGTCTCCTAAAAAAGCTCATACAGAGGTGGGCATGGTGGTGCACACCTGTAATCCCAGCACTCGGGAGGCTGAGGTAGGATCACCGAAAATTCGAGGCCAGCCTGGGCTACATAGTGAGTTCAGGGCCAACCTGAACTATAAAGGGAGATCCTGCCTCAAAAAAAAAAAAAGGAAAAAAAGCTCATATAGTTGAATTAGGTGACAAATTATATTTAAATATGAAAAAAAAATTTTTTTTGAGACAGAGTCTCGCTCGCTATGTAGTTCAGGCTACCTTTGAACTCACTATGTAACCCAGACTGGCCTCAAACTCTCAGTGATCCCCCTGCCTTGACCTATGGGGCCACTATGCCCAGCAATATGAAGTTTTAGTGAGTCTACTTTCTGAAACTTCTAATGATACATTCAATTTCTTTAGGTTCAGTGTATTTAATATTTTTCCTCTTTATAATGCCAAATGATTAACTTATTAACAAATGATAATTATATGAGAGTATATGAAATATACTGTACTTGGGCCATTGTTTAATAAGCTCCTTAATTTGCTATCTAAATTCTGAAAGTCAGTTTTCAAAGTTACATGAGTTTAATTGGCTTCCTCAGGTGTCTCCTACATAGAATAGGTGATGAGTAGGGTTTATTAGAAAGATCCTGAGGCAGTGGTGGCCAACCTATGGCAAGTGTTATTTGTTTTTTTTAAGACAGAAGATGTTAATATGACTTGTTTTTTCTAAACTTAAAATCTCAGTATTCAGATTTAATTGCAGCGTTGGCACTTTGCAGTAAATAAGTGGGTTTTGGGTTGCAGTTTGGGCACTCAACTCTAAAAGGTTCGCCATCACTATCCTAAGGACTGAGTAAGATAATTGAGTTCTAGTCCCAGATATGGAAGTAACTAAGAATTTTAGGCAAGTCATTTAACTTTTATTCTTTGGTTTTCCTATTTATAGAATCAAACATTGTATCTATCTACCTTTTAGAACTTTTGAAATTGGGCAATATATTGAAGCCCTGTGAAATAATACCAGTTAATCTTTGTCAATTAGTTTTTCAAATTCTTACCCTGGGGTTGAAGTTATTGAAGGCACTTGTTTTTCCTTACTTAAAATATTTATGCAAGTCTCTGACCATGATATGCCTCAATTTCTAAAATTTCACTTTCCTTCCACAAGAAACATGTACTGGTAATTTTAGACTATCAAAAATAGTAACTTGAAGTTATTATGACTTGTGATAAATCACAGCCGTACTTCCATTGGTAATTTTACTTGATGCTTACCAGGAAAAATATTAATGATGTGAGATTTGCATTTGATAAGATATTATAGGATGCTCAGTATATTAGTTATAACTTTTATTCAAATAATTTTTTTAATTTAGAATATGATTTTAAAGGTGGTATTCTTGTGAAGAGAAATCATTTTGAAACTTAACAGAAAATGTCTCCTGTTTGTGTACCTCTCTAAAAGAAGTTAAGAGGGAGAATGGTTTTGTTATTCATAGCTTTTGTTTGTGGAGGTGAAAGTGGGAATTAAAAAAATCACAGACATCCTTGGAACAGTGTAACACAAAATACACACATGTATAGACAGACAGATCCTGAGATGTTACAACAAATTTTAAAAATAGATCAACATGATCCAAATGGTTTCCAAGACACCGTTATGGTGGGTAAACAGCCTTTTACAGGTATGTTGCATGGATGTCCACATCATGCTAGGAAAATACTACTCTGCTTCCAAATTTGAAAGCTAGTCATCCAGAGAAGGTGGCCAGTCAACATCTACGGACTAGAAGGAAGAAAACAAGTCATTAAAACATACTATTATTCTGGTAAGCATTTGCTGGTAATAGTTTAAATATATAAGGCAACAGAAGAAATTACATTTGAAGAAAAGAGCTACTGAATATGACAGTTTAGTACTCTAAAGTCCCTTCTAAATATTCTTGGACCCAAAGTCTGTTTTTGAGTTAACTGAGTAGCAATATTGGGTTACTTGGTTAATTGTACCTTTGTCTCAGAACACAGTTACTTAAATTTTAAAAATTTTTATTAATGGGTAAAATAGCAAACATTCAAATTCAGGTAGCTATACCAGTTTTCCCTCAGAAGTCTCAGCAACTTTTATTCTTCTGATCATTTCATATTGCCATCTTACATTTAACATAGTCAAATGTCACTTGACATCTGGGACACAATCTTAGAAAATGCATCACTAGGTAATTTCACCATTCTCCAAACACCATAGAGAATATATACTCAAGACAGCTATGATGTCACTAGGTGATATAATCTTATGGGACTACCATATATATGGTATCCATCATTGATTGAAACATCATTATACACAGCTGACTGAACTCAAGTAGTCTATAAGCCTGTAGACCTGTTTTGTAACTTAGCAAATAAATATGAAACGAATGAAAGATCACCTGGAACTAGAAAGGATCAAGAATCTTTTTATTTCACTACACCAGAATTTTTATTGTTCCATTTAAAATTCAATTCTCTAGGGCTGGGGATTTAGGTCAGTGGTGCCATGCCTGCCTTGCTCGCAAGCACCAGGTCCTGAATTGGATCTCCAGTACCAAAAAAAAAAATTAAAATTAAATTCTCTGTCTCTACTCACATCCATTTTGCTCTTCTAGAACAAAACCTGAAAATTGCAGAAAGCAGACTATTTTGTCCATACACAAACTATTACATTCCAAAAGCGTCAAAACACATCATAACTATGCTAGGGGCCTATTTTAAGAGCTTTAAAAACATCCATTGTATTCATGGTTTTTATTGACACTTAAAGTTTAAAACCTGAAATAATTTACTGAAAATTCCAGATTCAGAAAAATTATTGGAAAAGCCCAAATAACAGTTATTGTTGTGTGTGTGTATCTGTTATAAATCTCAAAAAGATATTTTGGTAGTGTTTCAGAATATAGCCATATATCAAACACCCATACAAGTTAATGAATGGTTTCTCAAATTGAAAAATTAAACATCACTGGTCACAAATGGTTGTGCTGAGGGGAGGGGAGGGGAGGCATGTTACAGTGTTCAAAAAGCTCCACATTTGATCCCAATGGTTGATCAGGTTTGAAAAATCCTGACCGTGACTGACATACCTAAGCTGTTTGTAAATATCAAGGTCAAAAAAGATGAATTCAGTTGGGATTTTAGCAGAAGGTTGTCCTCAAAATGAAGGACTGAAGACTTTGCAACCTTGAAGGGGTGTCCCTCGCTGCACTGCCACAACTATATAAAATCTAATCTGAGAGCATTTAAGAGAATTTCTGGTAAGGTAATAATGCTTTCCATGGCTGTTTTCACACTAGGCAATACTTATTAAAACTTTGATATTATTCCCTAGTGCAAAATACTAGCCTCTCCTAAGATTTGGGGGCGTGTGACGGGTAAGGAAGGACTCTACTCCTAATCAGATTTTCATCAAGGAGCATAACATGGGACTCAACATCTCTTGCTCAAATGAAAACACAATTGCCTGAAAGATCAATTCTTCTACTTGCTTTAGCATTTGACCTTGTTCCAATTCAGACTGTCAGAGTACAGAAGCACATCACAGGAATCCCTTATAAAACCTCCTTTGGACCACATCATAGGGATTCCTTAGAGCAACACTTTTATCAATAACCATTTTCTACCTGTTCCATTTCCATGGAAATTGTTCCACTTTCTACCCATCCTGAATGTTTTCAAGCAGATATGGGAATGAGCCCCCTAGCATCTCAAAAGACATGTGAAGGATACTTACAATTTTATTTCCTTGTTTGTTTTAAAGGTTTAATCTGATGCCATATGTAAAGTACAGCTAGTAAATTAGTTGCATGTATTCACAAGAATCATAAATGAGATCTTACACCTTTTAAAAACCAATATTCAGAAGATGTTCCCTCCCTGTAATACAATGCTACTCTGAGATTTTGATCATTTTTTAATATGTACCTATAAAGGTGGGTAGTGCTATTTGGTGTAATGCCAAAGGGCATAACTTTGGCTGAATTCAATTTGCAAATGTGTATTACACAATAAAATGATTTACCTCCACATCCAGCTCAAGAATATCTGCAGTCAGATTCATCAAAGACCCAATGTTTGGATTGGTTCTCCCAAAGTCTCCATGTACAAATTCTTTAATGTAGCTGAAGTCTGTTTAAGGAAAAAAATGAAGATAGCCATGCAATACTGTTTGGTATTGCAAATATCAATTTGACCGGTGAAAGGAAAATCGTAAAAGCAGAAATGTTAAAAAAGAGGTTATTTCTGAGTTCTGACTTGAGATGTGTATCTTAGAAAATAAGCTATGATAAACTGGTTCCTACCAGCCTTGTAAAGCCAATACAGCGGTACCTCAGTTCATAAACTTAATTCTTCCCATGATTCTGGTTGCAGAATTGGTTCCATGATTCTGGCTGCAATTGAGCAATTCAAAAAGAATTAAGTTCATGAACCAAGGTACCACTGTATAAATCTGTGTTCACATCAAACTTACCCAAAGTTGTTTACTAATAAAATTAGCAAAAAACTGAGTTTTTAAAATTTAATTGATTGATTGATTGAGACAGGGCCTCGTTCTGTAATTCAGGCTGGCCTTGAACTCACTGTGCAGCCCAGGCTCGGCTCAAACTCACATCAATCCTCCTGCCTCAGCCTCCCGAGTGCTGAGATCACAGGCATGCGCCACATACCCAGCCTGAGTTCTTTTTAAAGGAGTGACTTTGTATTTCCCTCAGAGCTCTTTAAATTTTGAAGGCAATGACTAATTCTGGAATTGTTCTTAATAAGATTTCATTAACTTTATTTTTTTTCATTAACTTTTTTACATAGGACTGTATCGTAGCCTTGAATATATTATCTGAAAGATACACACTTTTGCTAGCATTCAGGAAAAACGCAGCATTATACTAAATATATACATAATATTACATAATATACACAATATGCAGACTATATATAAATATATGCTAAATATATACATATATTAAAAGCCAGCTTTTAATATAAAATATTTAATAGAATTTGAATACGAAAGATAAAACTTAGATAACTGAAAGCAAAACTATAGTATGCTGGTATTATATCCCCACGTTCTTCAAGTTTATTCACTCTACCTTCAAGAAATGTTTTGATTCGAGCATAATAACTAAGGTTAAGACTATAGGATCTCCCTGATACATTTTAATCAGCAACTCAGTTCTGATATAAAACCATACAAATCAATGTTGGGACTATGGATTTTTTTTAAACTCTGCATATCAACCCTTTCTACGTACAACACTTTTATCACACAGGACTCTTTTTAGGCTTTGAAAATGGTGTAAATGCAGCACACTATTACTGTCAACCAAGTTTATATGGCTTAAATAAGTAATACAGAACCTGAAGTATCCTTGTTTTATTTTTGTTTCTTCACAAGGCATGTAGAGAGAGAATATCAGTATGCAAAGTAGAGCTGGGTATGGTGAGATGCTCCTGTAGTCCCAGCACTTGAGAGGCTGAAACAAGAGGGTAAGTTGAGTCTGGGAGTTCACAATCAGCCCAGACAACATAGGGAGAACATGTCTCAAAAAATTTTTTTTTAAAAACAGTACAATTCCCTTCTACCACCTGTGTTCAATCTGGGGCAAATTATTATTATTTTTTTTTTTTGGTACTGGGGATTGAACTCGGGTCCTTCCACTTGCAAGGCAGGCGGCAGAACCACTAAGCTAAATCCCTGGCCCCTGGGGCAAATTCTTGAAACGCTAAAAGGACCCAAATATGGTCATGAATAAATATATGACATGTATAATGTTTCAAGACAGCAAATTAATCAAAAGTATCTTCTGAGTACTTACCATGTGCTAAACAATGTGTAAGAAACTTTAATTAAAGCAAATAACTTGGGCTGGGGATTTAGCTCAGTGGTTTCGTCGCCTGCTGCGCAAGTACAAGGACCCAAGTTCGATCCCCTGTACCCCCCCAAAAAAACAAACCCTAAATAACTTTAAAGTTGACATTGAACCAACTGCTTCTCTTGTGGTTTAAAATAATATTTTGAAAAACACAAATTTAATGGGAAAAAATAAAGAAAGAATGGGTTCCTGTCCAATATAATCCTTTCCCTATGATCTCCCAGAGCCAGTTGAACCTATTTTCAAGAGCAACATTAACTCTCCCAACATGATGCTGGTTAGATTACTGCAGCACAGTGGGAAAGGATACGTTCCAGCTTGGGTCTTTAGATAGAGGCGAAAATGGTGCTCATCCACGTAGTGTGTCTCCATGGAGTGAATGACTCGAGATCTCACAGCCAAGGGCCTTCGGTGAAGAACGCGTAAAGGTGTTTTCTGGTCAATCTTTAGGTCCTAGAGGAGGAGGTGACAAAGCCAAGACTCAGAGCCTTGCCTCCCAGTGAAGCCTGGGTCAGCACCTCCTTTTCTCCACAGCTCACCCCAGGTGTTTCTCTAGCAGACTCCTATCACAGCCACGACAAGAACTAACTAATCCTAGAATAAATTGAACTGCTTTACCTTCAAACTCAGTGGGACTGCTCATAAACTAGTACATTTACTTATTTTCTGGGCCCTACTACCCTGATAAAAAGGGGGTCATGGAAGTAAATGATTCTTAAGGTCTCTCCTGCTCTAATATTTAACAAATTGGTAGGACTCTAGTGTTCTATCCAGCACTTTACTTCACGGGGCTCTTCTGCAGGGCAAGGTTTTCACCTTTGTTTGCCAACTCACCAGAGTGACTGTGACTCACCAACAGGGGATGTCAGGCTGGGGTGAGAAATGGCTGGCTGCAGAAAGTGGGATGGGATGCTGATGCACAGGCAGTATTTCCTATCTTCAGGGTGGTGGTTGTTGTTGTTATAGAAAAGGATATATCTAGAAATGCTACACCATTGTTTAGTGTAACATCTTAATGCGGCAATCACAAATAAATGTGCACAATAAACCAAGGACTCTCAATATTTTGTTAACCCACCTTGAGAAAAATAACACTGCCTATCACAATGCTGAATTCTCTGTGATTTCTTGTTGGAATAGCCCTTCCAAATTTGCATGATTAGTGAGTGCCTAAAGCCCTACCAAGAAAAGAAAGTTTTCTGTCTGGTCTCCCCTTTGTCAGGTTCTCTAACAAGAAACAGAGCAAGTGCTGACAAAGACCATACTTGAAAGGTTGTCACTGCTTCTATCGGAACAGTGAGTCGGCTCCACCTAACTCTTTGAGGTTTTTTTGATGATAATTCTGTGATTTTTAGAAGCATTTTGTTCTGATGAAATAAGCTGTCTCCATAAGGTTTGACTTTTCTGTGGCCAAAAAAAGACCATGAATGAATGAATGAAGTGAATGACAAGGCTGGACTATTAAGTAATCTATAAAGATATGTACAGAAACAGCTGGCCTTTAAATGAGCAACTACCTAATGAATCCTCTTCTTCCCCAACTCCTTTACCTCTTGAGTCAAATCCTAGTACTTTGACCATAAGCCAGTTCATTAATGGAAATACCCATCATTGCTTCTAATGTAGCACTCACATCAACACACGTTCATGTGTCTTTTGTTTGGTTTTAGATGACAAAAGAAACCCTCTAACACTTACTCTAACACTGCACTCCATTATCCCCATACAGCTGATTTTTCACAAACACACAAACTTTTTTTTTCTTGGAAGTAAGTTGCCCTTCAAAAAGAGAGACCAAATAGTAAATGTAAAGTGACTTTTCCCCAGAATAAGGAAATAACTCAATTTTTGTTATTTTTATGCCAATAAGATTATTTGAAATATTCTGTTATTGTCAAAATGTTACTAATAATCAACTAGACCCGTCATTCCACTTGGGTTGTGGACCATTAAAACAGACCCTTTTACAACTTAATTTGTACCTATAAAAATCACCTTTTAGCATTATTTCTGAATTAGCTCTATAGCCATCCCAAACTATAAATCTTTTTGGTTGGTGCTAAGGATCAAACCCAAGGCTTTGTCCTCAGCCTGGAATCTATTTTTTTAGTGGATTTATTTTTTTCCACAGCATTCTGAATAATGTGTACACTTATGAAGGAATAGAGAAGTTTAGAAATCTTAATCTTGCAATTTTAAAGATATCTTGTCTATATTATAACTACTAACCTAAAGGCCCCTAGGTAGCAAGGCCAAAAGCCAAAAGGGGGGCTACAGAATCACAGGATCTGAGAACTGGAGGAGCAATGGAGGGTGACCTAGCACATCACTTACTTTCTCTAAGCAGGATTTGCAAATGATGTGTTTTCACCAAAATATTCATATCATAAATGTTATTCTGTTCCTCATTTCTTTTCTCAGAATGTCATAGGCTAAGTCATAGATTCAGATAAACCTTTACCTTTCCCCAACATTTTAGGCATGTTACAAGGGGTAATCAAAAATACTAATTTTAAATTTATTAAATTAAAAAAATTTATTACAGTAAAAGACACATTGCCATTAATCCTCCTCAAAACACCCCCCACACACACTTCAAATGTACTTATCCCATTGTTCTTGCTATTTTTTTTTTTTCTTGGTACTGGGGATCGAACTCAGGACCTTGGGCTTGCCAGGCAGGTGCCAGAACTACTGAGCTAAATCCCCAGCCTACTTGCTACTTTTTGAAGCAATTCTGGACATCCTCCTTTATGAGTATCACTATGAGGTGCAATAAAAAATATGGTGATTGCTGGAGATGTAGCTCAGTGGCACCAACCCTGCCCTGCAAGTGCAAGGTCCTGAGTTCAATCCCCGGCACCAAAAAAAAAAAAGAAAAAAAATCAATGGTGAAAGCCACTGCTGAGTGCCATCCAATGGAAAGGCAGGCTCATAAAATATTACCGTGTGTCCTCATCCATCTTATTCACCAGATTTGCCAGCCAGATTTGGCTCTTCCCCAAAGTCAAAATGACCATGAAAGGTAAATGTTTTAAATGATTCAAGGCAGCCATGAGAACACAATTAAAGACACTCATGAAAGAGGACTTCCAGAGCTGCATCAGAAAGTGCTAAGTATAATGAGATAAGTGTGTTTGAAGCAAGGGGGAGAATTTTGAGGGGGATTAAAGATAATGTGTCTTTTACCATGATACATATTTATTTAAACACACATCATATTTTTCAACCATACTTCATACACATACTAACATATAAATCAAATGTGACCATGTGCTGGTTTTGTTTTTATAATAGCTGTACAATAATCTATTCTACAACTTCCTTATTGAAAGATGTTCATTTCGCTTCTAGTTTTATTACTGTTGATTTTGCCACTTTGAACAAAGCCAGTAAATCTTCTTGTGCACTTATCTGTATGTACTGAAGTTTTATGTCTCTAAGAGAGATTGTCAGTAGACTGTGTGCTGGGTAGAAGACATGTGCATTTTAAAATTTTAAAGTCATTCCCATGTTGCTTTCCAAAAAGGCTCTGAAACACTTTATATTTCGACTGAACATAAACAACTATCTTCTCTACTAAAACCCACTGCTTGGTTTTATTAGTTTAAGGGGAATATAGTGATAGCTTATTGTTACTTCAACCTGGAGGTTGAAATCATCTTTCCAAATGATTCTTGGCCAGTTTGAATTATTCCCTTTTCACCTGTCTATTCATATCCCTTGTCTATTATCTATTAAGTATCTGTATTTTTCATAATTAAGTATAAAGCCTATTAATGGTATCTTTTGCCATGTACTTAGTTTCCTACACAGTCATACATACATGCATAGACACATATGCTCACACTTATGCTTACACACAATATACCATCCTGTATACACTCTTTCCTTTTTGTCCCCCCTTAGCACTTATCAGAAATATTTTCCTATGTTAATTAGTATCTACCATATAGTTTTTAATTAGGTAGTAATAGTCCATTATACACTTAAGTCACAATTTTAAACTAGTCCCCTCTAGTAGGTTATTGATTTTTATAAAATATATTGCCCACATAGACAATGTTGCAATAACTATATATATCTTTGTGCCCATTTATGTTCATTCTTTGCATTTGAAAGTAAATTATCACCAGGCATGGTGGTACACGCCTGTAATCCCAGCACTCGGGAGGCTGAGGCAGGAGGATTGCTGTGAGTTTGCGGCCAGCCTAAACTACATATGAGTTCAAAGCCAGCCTGAACTAATAGCAAGACCCTGTCTCAAAAAACCAAAAAAAGAAAAAAAAAAAAAAAAGAAGTAAATTATCTTTACAGAAAGAGTGAAGGCAAGTGGGAAAAATATGCAAAAGAACAGGCAGACCCTCCCCAGTGACGTGTTCATATGGAAGTATGTGCCAAAATATATGTGCTTCATACACATTATTACATGTTTTATTCACATACTTAACTTTAGCATCAATTCTATAAGTTTTATTTCTTAAAGATAAGCATTGGTAAGAGTTTTCTATGTGCTAGAAACCATCCAAAGTCCTTTATAAGATTAAACTTATTTAATTATTTCACTAATTTTACACAAGAAGAAAATGAAGCATTATGAAGTTAAATAATTTGTCCAAAGTCAGAAATAAGAATCCAGGATTTGCCTCCGGGTAATCTATCTTCGGAGTTAGGATTTTAACCATTAGCAGCACTGCCTCGCTATTAGGTTAGGTGGAAGACCCAGGAATTCAGCTCATAAATGGTAAAGTCAGAATTTTAATTCACTTCGCACAAACCCCAAAACCCATGCTGTGTGACTTGCTGATAATAACCTAGAAAATAGTGGGTTCTTCTATGGACAACAGAAAAATAAACTAAAAAGGACAACAGCATCTAAATTACCTTTACACCATTTAAGAATTCAATGTCTTCCTTCTGTATTGCTTTATTTGTCCATATTAAGGCGCTATAGGTCTTGGTCTTCTCTTCTTCACCTTCTTTCATATGTCCTATTGCTTCTCTAAAACAGTTTTTAAAAATGTCTTGAATATATAAAATATAAACAAGCCTTGCTCCAAATGTCTCTTTAAAAATACCTTTTTTTTTTTGGTAGTGGGGATCGAACTCAGGACCTTGTGCTTGTGAGGCAGGGGCCAGATAAAAATACCTTTATTGAGATACAATTTACATGCAATTCCCCTCTTTTAACTGTACAATTTAATTTTTTTTAGTATGGTTACAGAGTTGTGTACCTATCACCACAACCTAATTTTATAATACCTACATCATCCCCCAAAAGAAACTCCATTCCCAGGCTGGGGATTTAGCTTAGTGGTTTTGTCGCCTGCTGCACAAGCCAAGGACCCAAGTTCGATCCCCAATACCAAAAAAGAAAGAAACTCCATTCCCATTAGCAGTCACTCCCTATTCTTCCTTTTCCCAAGCCCTAGACAGACACTCATTATTTTCCATCCCTATTCTGAACATTTCAGATAACATGGAATCATACAGTAGTTTGGTGACTGCCTTCTTTCACTTCATAACACTTTCAAGGTTTCTCTTTGTTGTAGCCTGTCAGTACTTCATTTGCTTTTATTACTGAATAATTTTCTATTGTATGGCTCTATAGTAGTCCCCCCTTATCCATGGCTTCACCTTCTGCAGTTTTAGTTACCCACAGTCAACCCTGGTCTAAAAACATTTCATGGAAAGTTCTAGAAATAAACAACTCATATATTTTACATAACATATTACAGTATATTGCTATAATTGTCTTATTATTTACTGTGCCTAATTTATAAATTAAAATTTATCATAGGCATGTATATGAAGAAGCATAAGATATAGAGTTCAATACTATCCAGTTTCAGGCATCCACTAGAGTATTAGAACATATCCTACACAGCTGGGCACAGTGGCACACACCTGTAATCCCAGCACTTGGGAGGCTGAGAGAGGAGGATCAGTGCAAGTTTGAGGCCAGCCTGGGCCACACAGTGAATTCAAGGCCAACCTAGACTACATAGCAAGACCCTGTCTCAAAAAAAGACAAGAGAGAGAGGGAGAGAGAGCATATACTCCACAGACAGTGGGGAACTACTGTATCACATTTGATTATTTATAGACACTTGGGTAGTTTCTACCTCTTTGCTCTATAAATACTACTACTATGAATGCTCAGGAACAAGTCTTTGTGCAGATGCATGTTTTCACTTCTCTTGCAAATATAATATCTACAAGTGGAATTGCTGGGTCATATGGGTACTCTATAGTTAATCTTTTGAGAAAATGTCAAAACTATTTTCCAAAGTGGCTACATTTTTTCAAACACCAGCAATGTGTGTTACAGTTTCTGTATATTCTTGCCAGCACTTGTTATGTTCTGTGTTTTTTATAATAGCCATCCTAGTGATTGTAAAGTGGGATCTCATTGTGGTTTTGATTTGCATTGCCCCAGTGACTAATGATGTTACATGTGTTCATTGATTGTTCATGTTTTCCTTGGAGAAATGTCTACTTAATCACTTCCCCATTTTTCACTGGGTTGTTATGAGTTCTTCATGTATTCTGGATGTAATTCTCTTATCAGATATATGATCTGCAACTAAAATTTCCCTTTTGAAATCATCTCTGGTGAACCTACCCTTACCTTGTGACAAGCTGCAAGTCACGTACTTGTATCTTGTCGGATGATTTATTAATTTTCTGGAGTAGCAGGAAAAGGAAAACAATTAGCAATGCTAGCTCAATTACAGAGTTGTAGAAATGTGACAATTTCTTTATCATGAAGTGCTTTACCTGCTGAAGTTCCTTAATTTCTTCTGAAGTGAAATGTACTCTATGAGGATTCACCAGCTCAATTGCAAAGGGCCTTCCTGGCAGCACACAGCCCGTCATGAAACAGAAACATGTTGATGGAGTTAACATTTAGGCTAATAATGCAAGAGGGTTAGGAGTGTGAAAATGAGTTGAACTCTAGAGGACAGAAAGTTCAGTGGCATGACTACATCTGGCAGAGGGAAGAGTATGTGAAAAGAATCAAGGAGCTTTTGGGGAAACAGGGGTTGCTAAACCCCAGCACAGGCAATATGTGAAAATGACTGCTTTCCCAAAGGTCCACAAGCAAGCCTGTGTTAATTACAAAATAACATTCAAACAACCACTAATTAAGTTGGTTACAGTACTGTTATACTGTCACATGCAACAATGCCCAGATTTCAACCAAGTTGAAATCCTTTCTCCCAGCCTAATCCGCTAGTGAAATGGAAAAATTATAATTCCTTGAGAGAAAAGGACTATAAATCTCAAATAGCCCAGAATTATTTTTCATCATGTTTCCTGTAATTCAACAAGATAAAAATGAAAGAAAGGAAGGCTAAGAGCAGAATCATTTTTTAAATGAGGACATAAATTTTTAAAACTGGTACTTCTGAAATGTTACTAAATGGAACAATTAATCAAATTTCGGGGGAGGAGTACACATTAAAGTCCCTTATAACCTATAGATATGCAATAAGGATTGTCTCTGAGGAAATGGTTCTTGTTAACACAGGTATAGTATAATTTACAAAGGTAGCTCCACAATCCACAAGGCTTTCCCACCTGGAGGAGCTCTGGGCCCTGCCTACTTTGGTTCTAAGTAAGCCTGCTGTCTGCAAAAGATAATTGGAAATCTAGTTCTAGACAGATAATGCTGATGCAATCTTACCATTTCCTAATGTTCTCACATCTACATCTTCTCTTCCAGAGGATGAGAAATTAAAACCTTTGGAAAATAGATCAAGAAAAAAAAAAATCAGAGACATATACCACTGAGATACTTATTCACAAGCTCTGGTAGAAACCCAATTCAAAGTCTTGAACAGTCTACAGATGAACCCCAAGGGATAGTTATTATTCCATCTAGTCCCAATCTCTGATGAAAATAGAAATGATAATAATAAACACCACATACTGCATACTCACTGTATGCCAGGCCCTGCAATAATAATTATGCATGCATTATTTAATCCTTATTAAACTTTGTGAAGAACTAAATAAAAAGAACATTAAGCTTTAGAAATACAGGCAATTTTCCCAAAGTCACATGATTAAAGGGCAGAGCCAGGTGATTCTGATGTCAAAGGTCTGCCTTTGACATCATTCCATGCCACCATCACATGGGAATTCCAAAGGCATAGTACTGCTTGAGTAAAAGCCCTGCCACCTCGATGGCCATCAGCTTATGACAAAAATTCTATCATCTTTTTTTATTTCCTGAAGAAAAGCTTTTATATAAGACTTAAAGTCTGTAAAAGAAAGATATGGGGGGTTGAGCCTAAAGAGCAAATTCACTGTCTAATCAAACCTAAGCTGGAACTATGACCAGTGTTGGGCCAGGGATTTAGCTTAGTGGTACCACCGCCTGCCTCGCAAGCGCAAGGTCAAGAGTTCAATCCCCTGTACCAAAAAAAAAAAAACAAACGAAAAGAAACAGTGTACATCCTACAATAAATGGATCATCACAAACTAAAAACTGTAAAAACTGGATGAGGAAAATGGTTTTTTAAAAAGTACACAACACTCCTGGATACAGAATTGACTGATGATTTCATCACAATCACCACAGCAAATAATATCACAAACAGGTGTTATTCTAAGTGCTTTATATGTGTTAACACTGCCATTATCTCCATTTTACATATGAGGAAAGTGAAACAGAGACAAGATATATACCTTGCCTAAGGTCATATCATTCCAAGAAATGCAGACCCAGTGGTAGCATCAGCAGTCTCCCCAGAGTCTCTTAACCACAGGGCTTTACTGAATCACAAAGACATAGCTAGAGGAGCTCAGGCTTTCACCCAGGGGGATGGGCAGGACCAATCTTCTTTGAGCAAGGTCTGGGCAAGGCTGGGATGTTTTAGGAACCCTGGCTACAAAGCCTTAGAGTGGTAAAGTTGCTAAGGTTGCTGAATAGAGAGATGGAAGGCTAGGAGAACTCAGGTTCATACCTTGACTTAGCCATTCAGTGAACAAGTATTTACAGGGTACCTACCAAGTGCAAGGCACTGTGCTTGATGCTGGACAGACAAAGGCAAACAAAATGGATACAAATCTTAGGCTCACAGAGCTTGCTCTTTGTGGAGAGCTATGGACTACCAAAAAAAGTGGGTTAGGCATAGGACAGGGTAAGTATAGGAACACTGCTGCACTGAGGGCACAATTCTAACACAGGCTATGGGATTTGTCTTTATTCCCCAATACTCCAGCCACTTTAGAGAGCACAAGGTAAGGAGGAACAAGATTTCTGGGAAGAATGGAAGGGGGAATTGGGAGGGTGACGGCCATTTCCTCTCAGCAAAGATTTTATACACAGAATTTCCATGCAAATTTTAGAAAAAGGAAGGTTAGTGAGGCATGACTATAGTTGCAGCTGCTTAGGAGGCTGAGTCAGGGGGATCCCTTGAGCCCAGGGTTCAAGGTAAGCCTAGGCAAAATAGGAAGACAATATCTCTTAGAAAAGAATAGAATAGAAAAGAAAAGGGAAAGGAAAGGAAGGGAAGGCAAGGGAAAACAAGGCAAGGTAAGACAAGGCAAGTCAAGGCTAAAAGGTTTGAAAGTCCCATGAAAAAACACTGAAGATTAGTCTTCCTTTCTGAGATGTTTAGCTGTGAAGAAAACAGGAATTCATCCTTCCTTTGCCTTTTAGAAATCCTTTCAGCAGACCAAAGCAGGCTAGAAACAGGCTCTGGGCTGTATGTCGTGTAGTATCAAGTGAAGTGAGCTCCTCTGTGACCCACAGGACCCAGGACTGTGTCTCGCAAAGAGGAGCAGCAATCAACCTGGGGATAGTTTGATAAGGTCTAGATACCCAAGCGAGGCCTAGAGTTCATGCTGCTGCTTAAGCTCAGAAGTACGGGTGACCTGTGTGGTGTGTGACAGCACCTGAGGACTGGCCAAATGAGCAGCCTTAAGGAGGATGAGGCCAGGCTCCTTTCCAGGGAAGAATGTAAACCAGGCAGGGAGTAGGATTCTGTGGGCAGCTTCAGATGATACTGTTGCCTTTATGAAGATGGGAAGGGGCACCCTAGAGTTGCTAAGATCAGGAAGAGAGGGATCTGGGCCCCTTCTCTGCATATCCAACATTTACAGCAAGCTTTCAACCTTGCCTCTCACCGGAACAGGCCGGCAGCTCATCCCAGCAGCACTCTCCAGCCAGACCTTGGGCTTTAGTCTAGGAGGGCTCCCTCCTAAAGTGCTGAACCCTCTGTGCTGCACCACAGGCCCTCTTAACATAAAGACTCACTTTGGTATTCCTGATAAATAAACAAATAAATAAAGTATTCTCTGGACTACTAAATCCCAAAGAACCCTCCATCCTGTGTTTCTATTAGAGTGTCAAATTACTAATAAGCCCACAACAACATCAGAAGCTTCCAGTCAGAGTTAACAGACTCAACAAGTAGCACCAAGGATAGAAAGCTGTGGTTAAAATGAGAATTCAAAATGGCATCTAGCAGGCTGAAAGGTGTAGATAGTGGTTTGTCTAGGATAGTGGTTTGTCTTATACCTCTCCACACCTCTCCCAATCTAAAGCAGGGGGCCCACAGTGACTAAGCTAGAACCCAAGATTAGCAGGGATAATAAGAATGAACAGGACTCAGAAGTGGGTCTACCAGTTACATGAACTCAGCCCAGAAATCTCAGATTCACAGACCACTCCATAAAACTCCCCACAACTTCCTGCCCATTAAGGAGAAAGAAGTGTAGAAAGCTAGGCTCTTGAGAAGGCCAGAGAAGCACCAAATCTAGACCAAAGGAGGAGTATGGATTCTGCGTTTCAGAAAAAAATGTTTCAAAACTGAGAACTAAGAAAATATCCTTGGATACTAGAGTGGGAAAAACTTGTAGAGGCAAACCTGAAAACTTTACTAGTGTGCAATCAGGAATAATAGCTGACAAAAAGGAAGAAGGAGCTACTGCCTTAAGTATTAGAAAATATACACTTAAAAGTTAGTTGAGTTTTTCTAAAATCACATTAGTTCTTGCTATAGCTTCTAATTCTTTGGTTCTTCGACCCTTCTGCTCAAAGGAAAGGCTATTTCAAAAGCAAAATCAAGGGCAAGAATGATTAGGACCCATAAATGGTTCAGCTAATTTGCAGTGACCTTTGTACCCATGGGCAGACGACACCGAGGCTGAAAAATGGGCAGAAGCCAGATGATATAGGCCCCAGAGTACCAAGTTAAGGAGCTGGGCTTTATCTTACAGCTTGTCATTGACCAGTTTTTAGAAGGGAGATGATATGATAAAGTTACTGAATTAATGAAGTAATAAATGTAGTACTGGGGAAAACTTGTGAGACTCACTGATTTTTTTTTTTTTTTTTGGTACTGGGGATTGAACTTGGGACCTTGTGCTTGCAAGGCAGGTGGCAGAACCACTGAGCTAAATCCCCAGCCTAACAAACAATTGATTTTTTTTTTTAATACTGGGGATTGAACTCAGGTCCTTGTGCTTGCGAGGCAGGCGTCAGCACTACTGACCTAAATCCTCGGCTAGACTCACTGATTTTAAAAGTGTCAAAATAATACTCATTAACTAGGGAATTAACAAGCAGATAACAAGATGTGCCAATTTGAAGTGACTGAGAAACACGTTTGTATATCCCATTTACAGGAAAGAATGATTACCTAAGTAGCTAGGCTGCTTCATGTAATATTGATTTATTTCATGGAGCTGTAAAACCTAAGAGCACAACAAATAAAATCACCTTTCTAGAGTCTTTACATATAAGTCCTTAACTCAAAAATAATCAGTAATATATCTGAGAAACATGGGTTTAATAAATTAGTGCTATTAATTCAGGATTTCAAAAATAAGGTTTTATCCCTAAGAAGGAGCCAGTTAGCACAGAGGCCTAGAGGTCTGCTTTTTCTCAAATGGCTCTTAATACATGTCCTCAGCATTCATACTGAACACACAATTTGCTTTATTTTCAATTCGGGGACAACAGTTCTCCCTTCATGTGGAAAATGACAATTTCAGAAAAAGACTACAAGGGGGAAACATAACATCTATGTCAGAGCCCTCTGAGATAACAGGAGCTTTCCTCGGGACTGCTTCGAGACTTGAATAGAATTGAAGATTTTTTTGAATCTTCTTAAAGAAAAGAAGTACAGTAACCCCAAAAAGACTTTGAAAGAGACTTTTTAGGCTAAGCTACATTTCTACTTCTTCATAATCTCCCAGAGATGATACTCAATCACAAAACTTAGGAGAGAACCAGTCTGCAAATAATGAATTAAGTAGGTAAAAGCTCATGGCAATAGCTCATATAGTCTTTACTCCTAACTGAAATCAAGACTTTATGCTGCCTCTGACCTGACAGGCCTGTTGAGACAAGGAAAATGTAAGCCTGACAGGACCTGACTCATCCCACAAACTCTGGGCACATTAATACCTAGGAAATTAAAATACAACATGCTGGCATGAGGTTTTTGTAAAATGGCTTCTGTCCATCTAATTTCTCTAGGCCTGAACTTCATCCTAACACACTATGTTAAAAGAAAAGCTAAACATTTGCCAGTGATGCCTCTTAAATAACTACTGGATGCGGAAACTGTGGTCCACCAAGTCCATTCATTTAAAGTGGTGTCAACTGTTTTCAATTTCCCAGGACAGAATAGGCATTTTAAGAAAGGAAAGACATTCCTGGGTACCAAGGCTAAAATCCAGCCTAGGCCATAGACACCTGGACACACTCCCTATTCACAGGAAGCCTACAGCCAAGGGATCTGGGCTTGGTAGTGATTAACAAAATATAGTGATTTTTCCTGCCAACCCAAAGAAATCTGTTCATGAATGACAATAGACTTAAAATATTAGCATTATAACTTACTCTCTGCTTTAAATACTGTCAATAGATGATCTGAAATTAATTCTTCCACTGAAGATTCCAGCTTCCTTTCCCCATCAATTATCCAAGGAGTTTGTGGTAGATTTCTGGAGTATTTATTATATCTCCCTGTCAAAGAAATATTAGGTAGTTTGTATGGAATGGCACAATTAACACAATAGAATAAAAAGAGAAACAACAATTTTTAATGAGTGCCAATATCTTAAGTGCTATGATGTAAAACAGTCTAGCCTTTAATTCACAATCTAACTTGAGGAGCTAGCCCATAGTCATGAAGATAATCAGATAAAAAGATTTAAAGTAACAACAGAACAGATGGCTAACAACATGGTAGGAACAAGTTTAAAAAAATGCTCAACATATTCAGTAATACAACTAGCTGACTGAACAAGTTATAGTATGGAACACACTAAGTATCATTTAAAAAAGAAGAAAAACTATTGCTTTTACATATGATTAATAATACTTTAAGTGTAATAGACATTGGTGATAATGTATTCCAAGGGATTCAAATATAGGAAATTCTGAAGTTTTTGTAAGTTAAAACAAACAAACAAAAACCCTAGCAGGCTATCACTCACTGCTTTATGAGTAAAGCTACACTAAGGCGAGAAGTTTTCATTGCCCTAGGGTAATCAAGACTAACGTATAATTTCATTTCAGCTACTACTATGAGGCAGCTGTAACTTTCAAAACAAAAACTGCTATAGTATGCTTGGGAAAATTAATGTAACAATTTTTTTTCAGGGGAAAGCCAAGTGTTTACTTATTTGAGAGATAATCAAATTATTTTTTCAAGTTTGCATTCCATGTTATAAAACATCCTTTTATGCTGCAGTTTTCCTCATTAGTTTTGAGTCTCTACATCTGCCCATACATGACTATCTCTGATGGAAACTAATACATGTGAAAAACTGGAAATTCAATCTCTGGTAGAAATCCTCTTTGCCATGGCATTTTAAATAACAGATTTCCTGATAATCTTTAAGAAAGGCTACAGAATCTAAAATAAATTTGGCTATCAGTTGTACTTCTCAAAAGAGTAAACTAATGAGAACCTCCTAACAACAGTAAGAATAAAGCAGAAGAGTTGTCAGTGGAGTTGTTCAGAAAGGACAATAGATTGACAGTGTACATATATTCTAGACTAAATATTTTACCAGCCACAAAAACAGCACCATGAGCACATTCAATTTCAAGAACAGTGCATACAGCTTTTGGTGAGTTTGGAGGACAAGGAAATTGCCTGCAAAACAAAATAAATTTTATGGCTACTATTTTCCAGACATGATATTGAATCACAAAACTAAGATGAATCAGCACTGTCTGGGACACACATAGAACCTGGGTTTGTAAAGCACTATGCCTCTCTCTAACTTTTAGTTTGGGAACAATAAAAGTCTTTCAGGACTCTAGCAGCTCTAGCAGGGGAGAGCATGGGGGAGAAACAGTCCTCTTCCATGAGGGTGGGGGTGGTAGTCCCCCCGGCTCCCCCATGCAACTTCGGGAGGGATGCACATGGAGAGGTGAGGGAAGAAGGGGATACCCGCCTAGCCAGACACAGCCAAATCAACCCTGGCAATTAATGGGGTGACAGATGTCGCAGCCAGATCGCCCTCACATCTTGGAGTATCACTTTTAACACCTAACAATGGAACTAAGTAAATCAGGCCTCTCAGATGCCACCTCATCTTCCCAGATATCATTTCTAACAGCCTTGAGATTTGGGGGGAAATCCATTTTTATGAAGTGGAAGCCCCTCCAGGGTCCTCAACCATTTTTCACTCCTCTGTCACTTGCTGCTGGCTTACAGGATTCTCAATTGTTTGGGTAAGGCTGGTGTGCGGTGAGTGGTCCCATCTGTGGAGGACATCCCACCAGTGGCAAATGTCCACCTTTAGGAGGGTACTTTACCATTTTTCCTTTTTCTTCTCTCTCATTTCAACTATGACTTTGGGAATTAGAGCACAGAGCAGAAAAAGTAGAAAGTGGCTGACACTCGCCCCTCTTAGCTAAGAAACTTCAATTCCACTGAAGATAGATGGGAAAGAACAACATATGGCTTTATTATCTGTCCATGATCTAGAAATCTTCAAAGCCACAAACTAGAGTCTACTTATAAATTACTAGATGTGGATATAGATGTATATTTTGGTGATACTAGGGATTGAACACAGAGAGTCATTCAAATAGTCTACCATTGAACTATATCATCAACTTTTTTATTTTGGATAAGGTCCTTTCTGCTGAATTGCCCAGGCTTGCCTCAAACTTGTGATCTTCCTGCCTCAGCCACTCAAGTAGCTAGGATAATAAAGTGGAAGCCACCACACCCAGCTGGATGTGGAATTTACCCTAAATGTGTGGCTTAAAATTTTCCTAGTTTCCCAGGATGCCTTTACAAAGAAATCATTTAGAAACTCAGGAAGTAGTGCTTGTATAATTGTTTACTTTCTAAAATGTAATAAAAATATTTCCATTCTGAGATTCATTTTTAGTCAGTAAAAGATATAAAACCCTCTTCATAATGTCACTGCTTGAAATTTATTCCAGGATGTCCTGGAAGGATAACTATAATATTTTATTTAATGAAATAAGTGCACTGAGAATTAAAATATAAGGTTTACTATTGTACTTACTGTAATTCAGCATATTTTAACAATTTATATTTTAGAAGACACTGATATCCAAAAATGGAGTTAATTTGCCTAGGATTTCAAATGAGGACAAGACAGTGGACCTAGGGCTAGGGTCCCTTGCTCCAAGCCAGTGCTATTCCCGTTACAACTAAGAAAACTCCCAAGCCTTCTCCCACCTCTGGAGATGGGCCATCCTAGGAGATACAGAATTAAGGATGTAATAAAAATAGCAATGGGCCAGAGGTTCACTCTCTATCATCCAGTTGAAAACTCAGGAAAGACAGGTTCTTTTTGGACATAAAAATCCTCTTCTAAACATAAGAAAATTGGGCTTGATTCACGATCCAAATATTAATTTGATAAACATCTAATGAACACCAATATATGCCAGCTATTGAGCTAGGGGCATATAAGACATAGTCTCTGAAACACATCCAGTCTTTCTTTAGAGATAACCCAGATTATCTCTACATTCCCTTTATTCTAAAATTCATGATTGGTTCCTTATTTTTATACTTCTACTTACTTGCAGAAATCCTCTTCTTTTATCTTATTCAAAGCTTTCATAACTGCCATTCTAGTGAACACTGACTACGGGGCAAAATGAAAAGACATTTTATTATCTAAAAAATAAAACATTGGAGCTGACGTACAGAACATGACTAGGTAAATTACATTGTTTTACATACTTAAAAGTGATAAATACTTCACAGCTCAAAGAAAATAAGTAAAATTTAAGCACTCATAATGTCAGTTATGTAGTTAGTGGACTTCTACAACCCTTCTTGCCAGTCTGGTCTCTGTCCACAGTGCCAGGTAGATCAAGCAGAACAAGTCTTCTTTACTGTACTGTCCCACTCCTCACAAGATGGCATTCTTCAAACACAAAAATGATGACACTGCACAAAATATGTTTTGAACTTTTTCCCCCAGACTTCAGGAGGAATTTAGATGGATCCATCTACATTTTCTTCCCTACATCCCTTCAATGGCCACAATGCTATACAATTTAGGAGTTGGCTGCTAAGGTTGGGGTAAATGAGAGCCAACCAGTCTGCTCTGGCATCTACCAGCTCAGTGTCACAAACAGCCACAAAGTAAGCAAATCCACTACACTGAACAGAACGGCATCTACAATAAATGTCCCAATTGGGTTTGGGTTTTGTTTGTTTTGAGACAGGGTCTGGCTATGTAGTCCAGGCTGGCCTCATATTCACTATGTAGCCCAGGATGGCCTCAAAACTCATAATCCTCCTGCCTCAGCCTCCCTAGTGCTGGAATTCCAGGTATCCACCACCATGCACAGCTCACTTGAATTTTTTTTAAAAATAAAAAGCCAAACTTCAAGGAATACTAATATGTATTCCATGTATAATGAGTACATAAATCATAATATTTCTTTTATAATAAGGAATCACATGTGACTAGAAAAGAGTAAAAAGTAGGCATCTTAACAGTTTATCATTAGTGAAAGCAATGACTTTTCTAAACCATAACCTTGGGAACCCTAGGGAATAGTTCTATAAGGAGGCATATGATCAGAACTCAAAATTAAGTGTTTGTTTCATAACATATAAAATCTTAGGCCTGAAAGAATCTCAAAAGGTCATTCAATTTACTCTCAGCCACTAGGTAAGAACTTACATTTGAGGATTTGCAACTCCCACTAGCCAAAGAATATGGTGTCTAAGATGCTTTGAAAAAAAATTCTTATCCTATTATCTGATACTAGCACTTCTATATTCCTCAAATGTAACAAAAAATGAAACTAGATATTCAACACAAATGTTTTACAAGTCACTTGGGCAGTGCTTCAGAACTGGTATGGCAAAGCAGCAAGCCAAGTTGTGCCAAGATACCCATCCTTTTCATTCACAAAGGCTTCTGCACAGGGCCTGGGACGATGGGATCCCTCAGGCCTACTGGTTCCAACCTGGAACAATTTCATCTGTTAAGTTTACAGTGTTGAACAAACACGGCAATATAAGTGTGCCATGATATGAGAAGAGTATGGAAGCACAGTCCTAGGTTTTGTCTGCATTTCTAATTATTTCTGTAGAAGATACAATACTTGACAACTGTTACAAACTCTTCCCCTCCACATCCCTAGTTCTGTGAGGCCAAGTAATTAGTCAAAGCAAAGGGAAGAAAAAAAAAAAAAAGCAAAGGGAAGACCAAAATATGTATCTCTGACAATAAAATAAAGATAGTCTAACAATCATAAGAACAAAATGGCATGTGTACTAAAAGTAAAAAACTAATTTGCTCATTAACATGAAAATCAGCTAACATCAGACAGTCAAGAGGAGTGTGAATAAAATGCCTGTTTGCAAATGTATGATATAGCTAAATGCTTTTCTTTACCTAAAAATTCAAAATCCAGACTAGGGAAGTCAACAAGCAAAGTCAGACAACTACTCCAAGTCCAAAAAAATCCCAAAATCTTTGAAACATTTCTGGTCCAAGCATTTTGGATAAAGGATATTCAAATTGTATTAATTCAGGACTGCTTAAATAAAAAATTTACTTGGGTTTGTATTTTTAAACACCAATTTCCAGAAAATATATATTAGACAAAGGTTTGGAATGCTATTGATACTTACCATGGATATTCCCAGATGATGTAATTTGGGGAGTCCAAAATTAAAAGTTGAATTTCCTCAAATAGTAACATCATTGAAACTCTAGTTCTAAACTCAAGGAACCAGTGGAACAACCTAGACACTGCCAAATATTTGTGTGCTATGATTTCCTACCCAGAGGCAAAGGTGATGAGAGTTGAAAAAAATAATAAAAATAAATGTAGTAAATAGAAATATTTAAAGACTAATTCTTGGTATAACAGAGTTGCCACATTTTTAATGTACATTTGTTTTATTGTTAACTTGAATATTCAGTACAGAAAAAAACTCACTAAAAAATAAAAAGTATCCTTACCTGTTTGTTTTTGGCTGGCTTGAAACAATCTGGGCAAATTGTACCTCTAAAATAAAATTCAAGTTAATAAAAAAGGTTAATGAGTTTTTTGGGAATGGGCATAATTCAAATATATTTTACATAACATGGCTGCTAAACTCAAGATATCAGGAGCAGTCAAAATCAATCTCTACATGAGCTGTACTGGTTTACTTGGGAACTTTATGTGAGAAGTTACATTTTAAACCCATTAAGACATGACAAGTTCTGAAATAGTTATTAGAAAGAGAAACAATACTATTTTTACGAAAACCAAGGCCATTAACAATTTTACATAATTAACCCTGCTGTTTACATGGCAACTTACAGGAAATGGCAATCCTCAACTGTTTCTGGGTGAGCGAAGACCACACTCACTTCAAATAAGCTCTAAAAATTATAAAGACAGTTTTAAAATGAGCAAAAGGAAACTAACATCTGACAATTTATCAATGGAAATTGAAATTAACTCTCAAACATTGGTTCAGAAAAAATGACAAGGAAAGATATATACACTACTGCTCTCAAAACAGCTTGTTCACAGAGCAGCTATAAAGGAAAGGTTTTCATTTTTCCATTTAAAAATTCAATCACTAGTGATACTGCCAAACAGGTTTTTAAAGATTTTAAAAATTAATTTGTATGATTTGGAGGCAACTATGTAAATTAGATATGAAGATGAATGAGAATTTAGAGAACTGGAAAGAGATAATAACTAAAAGAAAAAATGGTTCAGTCAATACTATAGTTAAAATTATTACAGGCAAAATTATTAAAGAGACAAAATTATTAAAAGAAAAAATTATTAAAGAGGCAAAAAACATTGTATTGTACTCCTATCCTTCAAAACTTCATATAAAAAAATTTTTTTTCAGGGCTAGGGATCAAATCCAGGGACACTGTGCCACTGAGCTACACCCTCAACCCCCCACCCCCTACTTTTTTTAACTAATTAATTTAGTGGTATGGAGGATTGAACCCAGGACTTCAGCACTGAACTACATCCTCAGCTTTCTTTCTTTTTTTTTTTCGAGACAAGGTCTCACTAAATTAGTTAGGCTACCCTCAAACTTGAGATCCTGAGTAACTGAGACTACAGGCATGCACCATTGTGCTCAGCTTGAAGCTTATTTTTATTTTATTTTATTTTTTGGCTTTTTGAGTCAGGGTCATGCCATGTAGTTCAGGCTGGCCTTGAACTCACTATGTAGCCCAGGCTGGCCTCAAACTTGTGACAATCCTCCTGCCTCAGAGTGCTGGGATTACAGATGCACACCATCACTCCCAAAGCTTATTTTTAAAGTGCTCAAATTTCTTAATTGATTTTAGTTTTAAAAGAGAGATCTTAATTTTTGGTTATAAAAGTTATACCTACAAATTATAAAAGAATCAAATACAGGATGGTTTTTCAATCCCATTCCACCAAGGTAGAACTAATAATTTGGTGGGTTTCTAGCCATTTTTACACACACACACACATTTTTTAAGGTATTAAGCATACTCTTGGAAAACTGCTTTATTTAATCTTATTTCATGGACATCTTTCTAAGGATTGTCACATATTTAAGTTGTAGAAAATTTTCTGTTATTAAAAAAAAATGCTACACTGAATACTCATACATAAAAAGATTCCATACCGTACATACTTTTACCTCTGCAGAGAATATACAAAATTCCACATTAGAAAAAGCTAAAATTATCATTATCTTACAACTTACCGTTTTTACTGTGCAGTGTATTTATAAGTTTGGTATGCAGTACGTTCACTGGATTTTTAGCAAGCTCATTAGCTACTCTAAGATCAAAATAATAAATAGTTTGGGGGGGGCTCCTATTCTAACCTACAAAATAAAATTAAAGTGAATCATAATTGTCTATTAAAGAAAAACTTCACTTGGCCTGAATTTATCAAAACATTATTACATCTTTTGTTTTCTATTTTTTTTTGTTCTCACAGATTCACTATGTAAAGTTATTTATGCTTCAAAACTAAAATTTGAGGTAAAATATTTTGCATTACTGACTTCTCTAATTTCCAAAGTACTTGCATTACCTCATTTCCTCTTCATACTAGCTATGATGAGGTTTTATTCTCTATTAGTACTCAGTTTTAAAGACATTTACAGCTTGTTCTGACTGTTTGAAAGAAACAGAATGAATAATTTAGAATGGTTAAAAACTTAACTATTTAGCTATGGAAGATGGCTTTGTGATTTTACTTGAACAGGGTAGTATCTGATACTGAGAGAATTTCAAGAAAAATGACCAGGCAAGGGGGATATACTATTAAAAATCTAATTTAAGATGTAACTATGTTCTGTTTTCACATCTGGAAACCTGAGCTCTTTCCTGAAATTCAGTCCATTTCAGGGACTAAAGCAAGGTGTTCTCTGGAATTAGGAATGTGGCTAAGTATTCTGGTTTTGAAAGCAGTCTCTGACTAAAAGTAAACAAAGGGACTTGAGATATTGACAAGGTAGGATAGATTGAGCCCATTTTCACTATAGTTGAATATGTAATTTTCATGTACTTTAAGAGGAGGTTAGCTACAGATAAAACAAAATTAAATAGTCTAGAGATGATTCTACACTGGGTCAGTTATTAATATATTGCTTTGTATCGGTAAATCTGTCCTTCCAATTAAACTATAAATACTAAAGGCACAGGTTATTTTTAACCTTTTAAGTTAGGGTATACATTACTTCTTCTTTTTTTTTTTTTTTTGTACCAGGGATAGAACTCAGGACCTTGCACTTGTGAGGCAGGTGCCAGAACCACTGAGGTAAATCCCTGGCCCAGGTATATATTAAATCCATAAATGTCTCGGATCACAAAGAAATCTTAGAGAAAAAAAAGAGGCTTTAACTTCAATTTATGACCATTAGAAATTAATATTTTGCCTGGTGTGGTGGTGCACACCTGTAATCCCAGCACTTGGGAGGCTGAGGAAAAGGACTGCCATGAGTTCAAGGCCAGCTTGGGCTACACAATGAGTTCAAAATCAGCCTGAACTACATGGTGAGATACTGTCTCAAAAAAAAAAAAATTAACATTTTAAAAGCTTAGAAATCCTTTACTGAATTATTCAAAGAGAAGATTATTTTGGCTAACCAAAACTCTGCCATATAATAAAGTAAACCTAATAAAACCAGAGAATACAATTAATAATGCTGATGATGCAATACCTTTCCATCGATGGGAACACCCAGTTCCTCTGAAAACAGGGGGTGTGTTATCCATTTGTAGGCTTCTTTTAACTGAACTACATAATTTCTCCCCAGCGACATACTCTGCTTTCTGAATAACAAAAATTAATTCACCAACATGAAAAGCTTCACTTTTTCCTTGAAAGGCAAGAATTATTTTAAAAATCATGATTGAGTGCCTATCATGTTACATTTAATACATTAGATAGAAAGCAGAAAATAAACCATACCAAGATTTCTCACCTCGTGGTCTATACTCTAGTGAAATCAAGGCAGTACTTTTTAATGGCATATAAGACAATTTTTAAAGCTTCAATGATAAAAACATACTGCGTTTTTCTGAACTAGAACTGTCAGATCCAGGATTTATATATTCTGGAAAGGTGAGAAATGACATTTACAGCCCAGAAACTATAAAACTGTTTATTACAATAATCATATCCATGTTAAAAATGTTTGCATCTTCTCTCTTGCTAAAAATGGGCCTCACTTTTGGGAAATCAATGTAAAAGCTCTACATTTTTTCCCCTTACTGCTGAAGAATAAATACTAAATCCTGAAATATCAATGTTCTGAAACTCTCATCAATGTAATATCAGATAAATGGCTCAATAAATATCTCCTATTCTCCAAAAATCTACTTATGAGCCAATACACAGGTTTTGGGAAGTCCCTATTATGATATCTAGCTTTAGTTTGTAACCTAAAATTGTAATAGAAAGCAACTGAGGTAAGAGGAAAGAAAAACATGGTATGCTATTACTAAAACTGCACTACTCGGTTGAGAACACTGAGACATTACTAACAAACTAACAAGCTCACTTAATTCAAATAAAACTTCAAACCAGCCTTACGGCTATTTACAGGGCTACTTTTAATAAAAGAGATGTTAGGGTCGACCTGTAAATCCTCCACACACCTTTTCTTATCCTGAGTATTGGGGACTGAACCTGGGGCCTTGCACGTGCTGGCCAAGTGCTCTACCACTAAGCTACAACTGCAAACTTCTTTATTTTTTGACAGGGTCTTATTAAATTGCCCAGACTGCCCTTGAACTTGTAATCCTCTTGCTTCAGCTTCCTAAATAGCTGGGGTTTTTGTGTTGTTGTTGTTTTTCTGGAACTGGGGCTCAAACTCAGGACCTTGCACTTTTGAGGCAGGCGCAGCAGCACTGAGCTAAATCCCAGACCCCGCTAAATAGCTGGGTAAGCATGTACCATATCACCCACCTTGAATCATTCCTTTTAATGTCTAATCGTCACTGATAGACATTATTATTTATTTGTTTGTTTGTTTTTGTTTTTGTTTTTTGGGGGGTACCAGGGATCGAACTTGGATCCTTGCGCTTGTGAGGCAGGCAGCGGAACCACTGAGCTAAATCCCCGGCCCAGAAATTACTATTTATAAGCAATATCCATCTTAATATAATTGTGCAAGACCAAAAGATAATAACTTTAGGTAGAAAGCAAAAAGTAATTTAGCAGGGACTGGAGATTTAGCTCAGTGGTTTCGCCGCCTGCTGCACAAGCGAAAGGACCCGAGTTCGATCTCTGGTACCAAAAAAAAAAAAAACAAAAGTAATTTAGCTAATGGTTAAGTTGATGTGGGAAAAAAATATAAAAACTACTGTTTCTCTAAAAATACAAATTAAAAAATAGTTGATCTATCCATTCAGTATCCAACTGAAAACTATAACTGGTTACAGGAATGCTTTCATATTCTTTGGGATTACAGTTTATAGAATGAAAAGGAACTCGGAAGCAACATGGATGCAAACTGAAAACATTTAGAAAATGGCATGTTCTTACTATGATAACAATTTTCTAAAAACAAAATCAAATTTTGTTATTACACCAGAATTGTAAGCTTTTATGACTAATAAAACATAGCTAGCCCCCCAAACCTTTGATAAATGTCATTATTATCCCTTTAAAAGTATAGATGTCAAATACAAAACAAAAAATAAATTACTTTTTCTATAAATTACTTAAGTATGAGATTCTAATACTGTACAAACATCTATACTTCTGGGCATTTCTCTCCAGAGTTTACAGAAAACTCCAACAATCATATGGCCATTTTGTTTTATTTTGTTTTGTTACCAGGGATAGAACTCAGGACCTTACGCTTGCAAGGCAGGCGCCAGAACTGCTGAGCTACATCCCTGGCATTGTTTTGTTTTTTGAGACAAGGTCTCACTTTGTAGTTCAGGCTCACCTTGAACTCATTTTGTAGCCCAAGTTGGCCTTGAACTTATAGCAATCCTTCTGCCTCAGCCTCCCAAGTGCTGGGATTACAGGTGTGTGCCCTTTTTATGGTACAGCTTGGCCCTTTTTATGATACAGAATTTTAAGTTTCGAAATACAAAAAACTCTGAAGAGTTAAATTTTTTTTAAAAAAATTTGATTGCAACCAAATCTTGATTTGAACACATGAGGCTATTTACTTTGTTTACCAAACTTAGTGTAAATATTCTTATGTTTCATTACAAAAATACTAATGTGCTTGATTATATAGCACCACTCCAAGAAAGAAGTGTGCTTTATATGATAGTTAACATCACACTATATTCCTAAAAATCCAAAAATTCTATATTCCAAAACACATCTGGCCTCCAAGGGTTTCAGATGAAGGGTTGTGAATTTTACATTTTGTATGAATTATCTGTGTATAAACTCATTACTGTTCTGTCTTAATTTTTATACTTTATATTTTATACTTTATATTTATGGCCTAGTTTAATAATTTAATTTCTAAGATGAATATATACTTTATTATTTAAGATACTTCCCAAAATACATTATACAGTGCCTAATGCATATAAAATATGTATTTATATATTTACATATATAAAACAATGAATCCACTTCAATAGATTAATACGCTATGCAAGTAAACTAACTGAACAAATCTGACACCCTAAATTTATACAATAAAAATTATTTCTCTAGTAGCTATGAATTTACTCTAAGAAAGGAGACAGTAGTAGTAAAAGTACTTTAAGAATCAGGTAACATATTTAAATGGTGGTAAAAACTCCCTACTTAAATTACTTACCCCATTTCCTGTTTTACCAGCAACCATGCCGCATGCTGTAGGCAATTTAGTCACACCCAAAAAGAAGAGAAAAGGGGAGAAATGTTCAGTGAAATTAAGTTCCAATATCATTACCAAAGTGCTTAACTAATTTGCTAGTCAAACTCCCCTTATTAGCAGAATTCAAGTTTGGAAATGTGCAGTGACCTCAGTCTCAATTTACAATCAGAAATGAGGTAAGATTTCACTTTGCAATGCTGTTTTGCTGTGGCCAGGAATTCAACAGGGGTATCCCCTTCCTCCCTACAGATTTCTGTTTCTCATTAATGAGGTATGCGTGATTTTTAACATGGTGGCTTATATATTTTTTCTTAAAATATCTTATTATTTCATGGGGGAAAGCCCAAAGTGACTGCATGTACAGACCCTCACAACATAGAATTGAAGGCTTCAGTTTTTTGGTTTTGTTTTTTCAATAAAAATAATATTTTTAACTCTACTTAGTTCACAATATTCACACTTATGTATTCAGGAGTTAAATGTAGTAATATCTTCAACTCACTTTGAATACAACAAAAGCTAAGATGGATTGATGGGTGGACAAATGGATAGCTGGATATATAATACAGCAAATACAGAAAAGTAGTAACAGCCAGATGTGGAGGCACACACCTGTAATCCTAGCACTGAGAGGCTGAGGCAGGAGGATCACTGTGAGTTAGAACCCAGCCTAGACTATATAGTGAGTTCAAGTCCAGCCTGAACTACATATAGAGACCCTGTCTCAAAAAAAAAAAAATTACAAAAGCAGTAACAATCATAAAATCTAAGTGGGTTATGCCATTCATTGACAATTCTTTCCCCCTTTCTATGTATTCGAAAATTCTCATAACATGTTAGAGGAAACATTCTGGAAAGGATTAATAAAAAACTGAAAAAAATGAAAAACTAGCCTGGTATAGTGGCACATGCCCATAGCCCCATACTCTGGGAGGCTGAGGCAGGAGGACTGAAAGTTCAAGCTCAGCTTGGTCAACTTAGCAATTTAATGAGACCCTGTCTCAAAAAATTTAAAAAGAATGGGGAATATAGCTCAGTATGAAGATTCTGAGTTCAATCCCTAGCAGCGCACGTGCACACACACACACATACACACACACACACACACAAACTGAAAAATTACTAAAATGAAGATTATCATATTCACAATCATAGCTGTTGTAAGGATTAAATGAAATTGATGTAAAGTGCATTGCATAGTAAATGTGTGTCACTAAGATTTCTCAGTTTGCCATTAGGCTCCTACAGCTTTCACCTCAGAAAACGAGAATGACATGCCTTGCCATAATACATGACATTTTGTGAGCATAACAAAAACCTACAGAAATAAGTCAATAAAATACCATAGATAGTGTCTGCTTTTCCATGTCACAAAAATAGCCAGCACATCCACTTCAGACATGACTTAACACAGAGTCTGCCCAAAAAATGTATACACACTTCAGGAAAAGAAAAATAGTATGATTTTTTTCAACAGTTGGTGTTACTCTCTTATGGGGGACCCTAGAGGATGTTGAACATTGCAGAAAACGCACACTGCCAGCCCTTAGAGAAGAAACTGAAAATGCATGTGCATCAATCTCAATGACCAAGGTTACCCAAGCAGCAGCTCACTATACAAATAAATGTCTGGAAGCTAATGAGCACCTCTTGTAATTATAGAGCCCAAAGGTAACTTGTATTAATCTCATGATGTCTCAATCAATTTAGTATTAAAATGTTTATACCAGTTTTTTTCCTTAAGTGTGTATACATTTTTTAGTGGACTCTGTATATGTGCAGTATTATATATGTAGCACCTTCTCTTTTTCAATAAACAAGACTTCCTTCAAATGACCAGCAGGGCACTATACACTTCTAAAGACTTATGAACATTCAGAAGCATTAGGTGTATTAATATGTTCAGACTTGAGCCAAGTAGAACAATTAATCACTAAGAACTATTCCAAATGTCTGATTTGTTTACTATGTCTGCTACCTCAATCTAATATCATCGTACTATAAGATTTCTTCCTTTTCTCTTTCCAGTTATTCAAGCCCTATTTCAAATTGTAAGGAAATAGTATAATACATAAATTACTAGAAGTCAGAAAATCAGGCTTTAAGCTTCACTAGTCTCTGGGTCTCAGTTTCCTAAGATGAAAAATGAGACAAAACTACTGTAATTTAAACTTTTTTGGAAGGCTAAAAGCATTAATAGACATTAGTTAGTACACTGTTTTATAATAAATGCTACTAAGACTGACAGGATTTTGAGGACTCAAAATTAAAACCTTATAATCAATATTGTCCTACCCTTTCTTCAGCCTTATATTTTGAGAGATCAAAAAACATCACCTATACAGGAATATTAATACTTCTTTTGCAGAGATATGAGAATTTAATGAAATCATGTACATAAGGAACCAAGTAAGATTCTTGACATGTACTTAATGTTAATTATTATTGTTATAGTGAAAATTTATCTGTAATTTGCAATAAGAACAATTCAGATTCACCCCATAAAAGATGTACAGGATTCCCTCTCATCCTCAAACTGCTGTAGGTAGATCTGGAATCTCCTTCACTAAGTCTGAGCTATAGAGAAAGATCTAGTTTCTTTTTAAAGGGACTCTTTTATCCTTTAGTGACCTTTTTGCCTCTCCTTATAGGCTAACTGTTCTCTACATTCACTTCCAGGTGATGTCATCCAGTGTGCGGTGTATTCTGTCATCCTCGATTGTAAAGTAGGGCAGCACTAGAGGTTGCCATGGGAAACCAGATAACCACCATGTGTTATGTGAAATTAAATGATATGTCTTCAGTACCTGAGATTTGCTAAAGGGTTTTTCCTTCCTAAATTCTCTGCAGGCTCCCTGCTCCAGCATGCCAGAAGGGTGGACAGAACTAATCACACAGCAGGGCCAGGAAGGCTGAATCCCAAAGTCGGTATTCCTCAATTATTCAATTTTCACCACGTGCTAATGCCCTGGACCTACTTCTACCAAGGAAAAAAAAAGTACAAAGTACATTTCTCCCTTTCAGGTCACCAAGATAATTTTAATAAATGTTCTGTTCCTTAGTCACTGGGAAAAAAGTCTGTTCTCTAGAGTAAGCAATTAAATTCTTCCTCCCCAGTAGAACCAAATAGCATTAAATTTATCAAGTTTAATCAAATTTGATACCAGAGGCAGTATGTCATCCTTTGAAAATTCAGGAACTACACAATTTAATCCTGGTTGCTGCTTTAACTTTAAGAATTCCAGGCAAGTCCTAAATGGGACAGTTGAATAACTGCTTGCAAAGTGCTTATCTACTCCAATAACACACATACACACACACACACCCCCAAAAAAAGTTTATGACTGCCTTGAGTTTAAGAGTTCTGAGCTGGAGGTTTATCTAGCACCAAACAATGAAAGTGGATGTCAGTGGAACCACAAGCATAGAGGTTGATTCAAGCAGAGCTGGTAGGAAGGAAGGACAAACGGGGGAGCATTAAAAATGGCATGTTGGGGAACTACAATTCAGTAAACTTGAAGTAGGGTGCCTTTGTGTGTGCATAAAGGAGAGAAGGGGTTCAATGACTAGAGATGAAACTGGAAAGATAAGAAAGTTTTGAGTAATAAACTAGGACATGAGCCCCAAAACTGAAACCATAATACAAGAAGTATCACATTTGGCAGCTGGGCCTGGTAGTGCTACTCAGCAGGCTGAGGTGGGAGGATTGTGAGCCCCAGGCTATCCTGAGGGACGTAACAAGACTCTCAAAAAAAGAAAAAGGAAAGAAGGTGAAAAAGAAAAAAGAGGGAAGGAAGGGAGGGAGGGAGGGAGGGGAGAAAGGAAAACAGAGAAAGAGATACAGATGAGAGAGCAAGAGAGAAAGAGAGAGACAGAAAGAAAAAGAAAAGGAAAAAGAAAAAGAGATGGTGCATTCCTATAATCTCAGCACTCCTGGAGACTGAAGCAGGAGGGTTGAGAGTTTAATCCCAGCCTGGGCAATTTAGCAATTTAGGGAGACCCTATCTCAAATTATAAAAAATAAAATAAGGGCTGGAGAATAGCTCAGGGCAAATGCCCTGGGTTCAATCCCCCATACCTTGAAAAAAGAAAAATGTAGAAATGTCACATTTATGTATATACAATACAAAGTTCCATGACAGCACAGAAAAGAAACCTTAAATTTGATCCTTAAATTCATCAAGTCACAATATAACCATTTTCTTTCCTTTCTTTTTTCTTGTTTTTTTTTTAGACAAGGTCTCACTATGTATTCCAGGCTGGCCTCAAACTCAAACTCAGCAATCCTACTACCTCAACCTCCTTAGTGCTGGAATTACAGGCATATGCCACCACACCCAGCACAATATTTTCATACAATTGTTTTTATGTGCTAGTGTAAGTGAAAGACAAAATACTATTACTTGGGGCAGGGATTTAGCTCAGTGGCACTGTGCCTGCCTCGAAAGTGCAAGGTCCTGAGTTCGATCCCCGGTACCAAAAAAAAAAAATACTATTACTTGTACCAAAACACTTCTTTATCATATATGGGAAATATAGCATGAAAAAGTCATATTTTGCAGGAAAATGAGGGTAATGACCAGTCCACTTTTATCATTTTTACTGCCTATATGGCCCTTATAAGACATCTCAGTTTGGCAGGCCTGGTGACACACACCTGTAATCACAACACTCAGGAGGCTGAGGCAGGAGGATAGAGAGTTCTAGACCTAGTCTACATAGTTAAGATACCTTTGGAAAGGAAAAAAGGAAAGGGGAGAGGAAAAGAAAAGGGAAAAGGAAAAAAGAAAGGAAAGAAAGAAGCTTGAATCTGTAACTCCTGATAAAGGGAAACAAACACTTGGCTAAAAGGCAGGCTCTGTCTTTCTAGATGTTGTATAATCACTTGAAAGGTAGTTATCTCTCTGGGCCTGGGTTTCTCAACCACAAGATAAAAAAAATTCAAAACTTTGTTGTTTTAGGGGTACCAACTATGTGGTAAAATCTTTACTGAGAA